TCCAAGGATGTCCATTCCAAATGTAATTGTCCTCCCAATCCCCCATAAACAGGTTGGCAAAACTAGGGGCAAATTTTGTGAGTCGTATTTCTTCTGAAAATTTCTGACTCTATCGTTTTTATAGTAATCCATATCCCGCAGGAATTTCTTCTTCTTAGTCCTCTTTATATCCTCCTCCAGTCTGTCTACACTTTCAGCTATTTTAGCAACCCTTTCCTTTGGATTGTCCCCTCCTTCCAGGGATTCTAGGATATTTTGTATTTCTTTAATTTCCTGATCTAATTCTACCAGCTTCCAGCCATGGGGACAAAATTTGCCCCTAGTTTTGCCAACCTGAGGCAGACCGCATCCATTGAGAAAGCCGCTGAAGCGGAGAAACGCGTCTGGAGGGGTCTGACTCCCATCGATACAAGCCAACATTTGCACTTTAAAGAGGACTCTCTATCTGATATTTTTCAGCACTACCTTTGCTGACTCGGGACGCCGAGAATTTCAGATAAGGTCTGGACTTTTTGCATGGCTTTTTTCTAAATAGATATACTATTTTTAACAGATGTTATTTTCTTTTTAAATTTATCTGTATATTAATCAATAAATTGAGTTTTAACTTATTTTGAGTGTGCCAGTAAGGTTACTAATTATGAGTTATTAGAAGAGAAAGGTACTTTTATTTTTTCTATTTGTCTTATACTGCATAGGTTGTTAGGTCTCCTATTTTTTGTACCTTATCTCTCATCTATTTTTTAGATAATCAGCGCTCCACTAATCACATATTCTTTCTTGATATTCAAAGGACAAGCAAGTGTCTATAAGTATACTATATACATATTTCTACCTGCACTCCTCTATCTTTGCCTTTTATAGGTAAGTGGTATATGTCAAAGTCATATCCACATGAATGCCAGGACCCAATGTTTCCCAGAAGAACATGGCCCATAGCATAGTATAACACTGCCTCTGCCGTTCTGCCTTTTTCCCAAAGTGCATCCTGCTGCCATCTCTTCCCCAGTTAAATGACACACACGCACCTGACCATCCACCTGATCTAAAAGAAAACATGATTCTTCAGACCTGGTAACCCTGCGCTCATTGAAGAAGCTTTCTGGAGTGGACATGAGTCATCATGGGCACCCTGACTGAGGCAATGCAGTTCCATATGCAGAAAACTGTGTTGCATTGTGTGTTCTGACACCTTTCTATCATGGCCAGCATTAAGTTTTTCAGGATTTTGAGCTACAGTAGCTCTTCTGCGTGATCAGACCAGAAGGGCTAGCCTTTGCACCCCACATGCATCAATAAGCATTGGGTGCCTATGACTCTAATGTTGGTACACCAGTTATTCTTCCTTGCATCACTTTTGGTAGGTAATAATCAGTGGATATCAGGAACACCATGCAAGACTTGCCATTTTGGAGATGCTGTGACCCAGTAGTCTAGCCATCACTATATGGCCCTAGTCAAAGTCACTCAGATCTTTTCACTTGCCCATTGTTCCTGCTTCCAAAACATGAAATTCAAGAACTGACTGTTTACTTGCTGTCTAATACATCTCACCATTGACAGGTGCCATTGTAGCGATATAATCAATGTTTTTTTACTTCACTTGTCCGTAGTTTTAATGTTGTGGCTGATCAGTGTTTCACTTGGAGGGATTCAATTAAAGAGAAACTCACATAATCAATGTTTTGTATTACAGACAGATAACCATTGTCATATAACATTCTAATGATCAATAGTAATTCTATTGTCTAGTAGGGATTCTTACTCCGAGCCCTCATGGATCACAAAATACCATATGTGTACTAAAGATAAAGCATGGGAAATACAAAAATATATACATAAAACTATTCAACAACGTATGGAAAAGTTACATTTATCTGCATACAGACATGTAAGCATCAATGCTAAAAAATGAGAATTGTATATAATATTCATGTTACCCCATTTTCTCAAAACAAATGTATCTGCATACTAGCACAACCATATTCACATAAATATGTATAGCTAAACTAAGGGAACAGAATGGTAATAAATACTACTAAACCATACAATGTAGCACTTTTAACATCGTAATACAATTTGCTACAACTGACATAAAAAGACCAATAAAGCCAATTTAATCAGAGCCTTATGTCAATTTTTTTTTACAAACTGTAAAAGCAGCACCTAGTCTATATTTTTAGCACCACTTATTCCTTCTCACGTTTTGTATTGTATCTATGGTGTGCTCACACAATAAAATCAACAAGGACTGACCTCTCTCCTTTCTCTAGAGATGGGTGAGCCACACCACTTGCATGCAGTCAATGGCTTGGAAAAAGGCAGCCTATAGCAACAGTTTGATGTAAATTGGGAATTATCCAACTGATAGCAGCTGAGGTAAGGTTACTATCTCTATATAAACCAGTTCCAATCATTCAATGACATATATGACCCAGTGGAAAGAACTATTAAAGTACGTTCAATGAATTACAGTAATTTCAAGTAAGAAGAGAAGGGGAACGGGGACATGGGGTGTCCTTACAAAGAATCATATAGGAGCATATAAGGCTTTCAGGCTTGTAATGTCCCTTTAAGAAAGGATGAAGAATCCGGATATCATAAAATAAAAAAGGCAACACTTTCAGATGCTTATAAGAAAACAGTTAAATATAAATAGATTTTACTAAAATAAACACAATCTCAAAGACAGCCACAGTAATGGTTGTAATTGGAATTGCAATTATTAACACAGCGCCAGCATATTATACCGTGCTGGTTAACATCTCAGCTACTAGATATACACTCGAAAAGTCAACTAGTTTGAAAAACAAAACTGTGGGCTCACACCAAATAATAAACCACAGTTACGTGATAGCGATTATTAGAATAAGAATAACAGTCCTTTAGTGTCTCTCCCCCACTCTTTCCAAATCCCATTATTTATGGAATAACAGTAAATAAAACAGAGAATTTTTATTATATGTGTCCTTCATGTGCATTTATGAATCCTCTGGGAGGGGGCAACAAAAGTGCCAAGAACAACTAATGAGAGATTGCAAGCAAGTTGGAAAGTTTTTCAAATTGTTGATTATTTTGCATATAATAATAATTTTAAAGTATTTAGCCAGGAAAAAAATGCATTTAGTTTGCAAGTGATTTCCCTGTCCATTCTGTAAATTTAGTTTGTATAGGATGAATCTGAAAATGTATCCCCACCCACTACTGTGCCTGTTGCTATCAACAAAGGGAACAGTAAACATATGTTCACATAAACAATCTGTGAGCTTAATGAATCTGCCACATCAGATAACAACGAACTTAGTATTTACTTGCAGCAACTTGCTTTCAGTGGTAACTGCCCATTAAAAAAACACACAAAAACACCGGAAACCAATAAATATTTGCAGCTAATAACACATAGCTGGAAATCCCTGAACTACCCTTCAATGCTATTATGAGATAATGAGCTGTAAAAACGAATATAACACCCCAGTACGCACCTACATTTGTGGCCCCAACAACAGCGGATTAATCAACCCATCTGCAAGATATCTGTAGCAATGATGTAGGACATCTGGAACTGCAATTTCTGCAGACTACAGTTCTCGTGATGTTAAGACAACCAGACACTTAGGTCACTTATGTTGCCAGATATATTGGGAAGGAATTAGCACTTAAAATTGATTCATAAAAGCTGCAAAGCAAATGTCAAGTAGCAACATGCATGGAAATTATGCTGCATATTTCTGAAGCACGTAACATAACAAAATAATTGTTAGATAAGCCTTTTTTTCCAATTATTAACACATGCAATACACACAAGGCAGAGTGTATTACTAGCGCCATCTACTGTTTCAATCTCAGATATCACTAAAATCACTGCACGTTAGTTAATGTTCTTAGCCATTTATTTTTCCTGTTTCCAGCAGTACGATTTGCAGTAACGGAATAAAATTTGCTGTCAGATATAGGGCGGGCCAAAATTCAGAGTAGGGTTTGAAGGTTGAATAACTTTTGTATTAATGAACTAGTTTCAATGATATTATATACAATGGATGCTTAACATATTGAGATTTGTTTGACTAGGTATGGAGGATGACATCTTTTAAATGAACCGTTTAGCAAAGTCGGGATCTTTCGATTGCATTGTTCATAATATTAGTTAATGTGTAAGGCTCTAGTGCTCAAATTTCTGCACAGACGTTCTCTTTGAGCTGCTCAAGTGTATGCAGGTTGTCACGTACTTCCCTCCTTCAGACATCTCCACAGGAAGTAATTGGAAGCTGAAATTCGGGCAAATGTGGTGGCCAATTAATTTGTGAATTTCTTGAAATTTTCCGCTCACCAAACAGTTGTCATTTTAAAAATAAAATTCCACTATTTTTGCTTGTACTTTGTAAAATTACCCATGATGAATCAACCAAAATTCAGTTATAGTATGTGCCTGCAAAAAAATGTAATTTCTAACAAGTAAGTTATTTACCTGTCAAATCCTACTCTGAATTCCCGTGTTAACAAAACGTGTGAATACAAGCAGCATAAAAACATTTAACTTAGATTTGTTAACCAGTTTGTTGCAATTTAAATTTATAGTAAGCATTGTTTTATTTTGTTTTTTTCAGCAACAAAACATATCGACTTTAAATGTGCAATGGATTGCTTTATAGATTGAAGTATATTGTACAAATAAATATTTACTAACAATTTTCTAAGGTAAGATACGTCTGAAACTTAGAATCTTCTTAACTAGATTGCACACACTAACTGCTTAGAAAGAATTCTAAAATGCTAAACATCCATTTGTGTACTGAGATCAGACCTAAAAATAGGAAATCGTGTAGTGGGTTTGTATCTTTTTATTTTGTCAAACACAATAAATTACAATTAAAGAATTATAAGTATAAATTTTTGCAGGACCGCGAAAAATGTTTTAAACAGTATAGAAATATTAAAATATAAACTTCACTTATTTTAAAGTTCTATTAAGGAATAAATGAAATCTGAAATAGTTTAGACAGTTTTAGATTTCAAATTGTCTTAGAGAGAGGGGATTCTATGGGAGAGGGGATTTTTCATTTTTATTAACACTGTGGAGGTGAAGGACAAATAACATCAGGTTCACTTGATATACTTCATACAGGAGTTGAGAATTTCAATTCCATTAAGTTCACGAAGTTGGTATATATATCTGCAAAGAAAAGGGAAAAAACAGAGACAATGCATCATTTGTCCATTGTGCACTAATATACAGATTCATGTAGGGTTATACAAATGTTGGAAAGAATTATAAGAAAGGCAGTGTTATATTATTCTGTATTATCTGATATCAGAATCATTTACTATTTAGAATTCTATTCAATCAAGGACAGGTAAGGCTGCAAAAATATCCAACATATGATCTTATTCATAAAATTAAAGGGCTAATTAAACTTGGCACTTAGCAGAAAAAAGAACAAAGATAAAACAAAACATTAAAAAAGAAACACTCAACAAAGTCTCTCTATATGTAAATCACTTGAGTTCAATGTTAAAAATGGTTCTCCAAGATGAACAAGTCTGGGGATCACTCCTAAGACCCTTGTAGAATTGTTACATGCCTAACGCACTTCTCTGAACCCAATAAATACATTTTCAGAAAGGACAACAACAAAAACAAAAGCAGAACACTTTACTGTTTTCTTAGCATGTTAATTCTGACTCTTGAAATGAGCATATTTATAACATGTTTGATCATAGCAAGTAGACGTAAGTCCAAAGTTATCATGGAAGTATGGGCATTTTTAGCCTTACACACTGAATGTTCTTCTCAGTAGGAAAGGAATGGAAACCATGAATGATGAGAGAACATTCTCAAGCATGAGGTTCTCTGGTCACATACGATAGAGGATTACCTGGATTCGGCAGTACACAGCTTTCCGAGGGCTATTGCAGCATTCTCCTGTACTTTAGTGGTCTTGCCTTCTTCTTTAGCATGAGTTAGCAAAAGCTTCAGAACATCAGATTTCAGCAGAGAGGAAGCTGCCCCTGGAACTTCGAAGCAGTATCCCAAACAAAGAGCAGCATTCCCAACAATCATCTCATCTTCACAACTCAAGAGCTTCAGTAAAGTTCTAAAATCTGTCAGGACAAATATAAAGCTCGTAAATCGCAAAAAAAAACTATTTGGTGTATTGCATATTTTATGACTCCAGATAAAGCTGCATAATTAACAAAACTGTGCTATACAAAGTCTCCAAACACTATCACGCAAGGATAAAATAAGTTACAGGAATGGAAACTCATGATATATGATTAGATGTCTATTTTTACAAGCTGAGTTCCTGTTGGCTTTACACAAGCATCAAACATTGAAATGAACTGCACTTGCACGTGTATTTAAAAGAACACTCCAAGTACCATAACCACTATATCCCTGTATGTCTCTACTTAGTGCGGAAGAATCCTGAAAGCAGGGTATAAGAACAGGAGACGGAACAGATGGGTTGTGGAAATGCTTTAAAAAACAATGGGAAAAAACAATGACTGCTAGGCCTCTCCTGACACCATAACCACTAAAGTGAACTGTAGTGTTATCTTTTCTTACCTGAACACCACAGCTTCACACAGCTAAGTGTAGAAGTATGAACCTACTAGTATGTGACTGATTACAGCCTGAGTTCACACACCAGCATCTACATCGTCCACCCCAACTGCTCGTTCACATATAGCTTCGACCCTGATGCATACCCCAACCTATACAGTCACATTGAGCCAGCCATTCACATATCCTCACTTAACCTCTCATACAGTCGCACACCCCATCACCCTGCCACATTCCCTCACTAAGCCTCTCAAGCAGTCACACACCACAACCCGCTCAGTCACATTTACCCAACCTGTCCCAAATCAACCACCCATCACTTTCAAGTAGCCAGCCAAACAGTCACAATCACAGACCCAGTCACATACTAGGTCACCTATCTAACCTCATATATCTCCATCCAACCACATGCCTTGACTCAACCCAAGTCATCTACCCCAGCTAGAGTGACTCACTTTGTCAAAATTACCACCCCTAATCACTTGCTCCTATGCTCCTAGCCACCTTAACCCAATTGGTCTCATACTAAATCTCCAAGCCCACCCAACACCTCACATTCACTCACTAACCCAGTTCAATTCTCTTGGTATGTAACTAATTTGATAATATTGCTCTGTATTTTGTGGTTTACATTCCTCTTTATGCTCAATCAGTCAGAAAAATGGTGTTATATATATATATATATATATATATATATATATATAAAAGCTCAAAAAAATTATCAAAGGTGTATATAAAGTAAAGAGCTAATTTAGCTGCATCCATGGAGGAGACAATAATATATTGTACCCTGTCAATGGCCAACTCTTTGTAAACCTAGTACCAAATATGAATGCATAATTTAGCAAAGAAATTAATTCAAAGCATTAAGCTCGATTCTGTTTGGTATTCCACGTGGACGTCACATTTTCTTACGACACCAAGTTATACTTACTCTTATCATATCTGAACACATCTTTCCTTGCCTGAGCATATTCTTTGGCACACACAGCAAGAGCTTTCACTGCATAAACTGATGTTCTCTGGCCACCAGCCTGAATTAACAAATAATATTCTTCTGTTTAATGCAAATACATTGTTAATACAGAAAAACCACACACTACAAAATATGGATCCTAGACAAAAATATAATAAACTACACATATAATATTTTCTTTTATAGGAGCCATCTAAGCAAAATAACATCTGTTACATGCTTAATTTTTTTATATATTTTTTTTTTACATGTACATAGAACCTTAAAGTGAAGGGGATACACGAGCAGAAAGCAAATTTGTTTTTAGTATTACCCCTGTCAGCTAAAATCAGGAAGATGAAACTAAAGCACGACTATGAATACTAAAACTGGGTGGCTGAAGAATGAGAAACTTCCATCTGCTCTGCAAATATTCTTTATGTTACTGTACATATAGAATGAGCCAATGACTAAATGTATGCTTTAGAGATAGAATGTACCCAGTACTAGATAAGTGTACCTTACACAGTGGCCTTAGAGAACCAAATAGCATGTCTCTAAATATATTGGTTTGTGTCTGCCCTGGCATTTCTGGATGATACTCTGAAAGTGTTGTGGAAATGCAATATTTTATAGGCGATATTTAAGACCACAGCTTTTTTTTGTAAGGTTGCGTTATGACATGTAGTAAATCTAAAATTATGTATAATTTGTGCATTAGTATACATTCTCTAAACATTAAATAGGTTAAAAAACAAACACATTTTCAAGCACAGCAATTCAAGGGTCATTGCATTCCCACAACATTCCCAGAATGTCATGCAGTGATATGCAAATAAGTACAGAAAGCATTTATCTTTTGAATCTATCCTGTGGATATGTGCGAGTCATTTTTTTTAAAGCTCCCCGCTGCTTTATACACAGTTTTTAACCAAGGCACATATTAAAAGCTGGTAGGGCAAAACACAACATTTGGTGATACTACTCCAGATGTGTACTATATGTGTGAAACAGAACTAAGGGAACATTATGGGAGAAGCATTCAAAACACAACAAAAATAACAAAATATTGTGTTAACTATAATTTTATTTTTCTATTTCTCACAAGGAAGTTTAATAGAACAGGTTACATTTTGTGCTATTGTCATGTATATTGCTAGTTGTACATATAGGTTACATGTTGAAAGCTATGTTTTTATTGTTATTCATAAAACTGTCAAGGCAGTCCGCAGAACTTTACATGAAACAATCAACCCATCCGTGTATAAATATATTATTCTAGAATGATTCTATATATAACATTGTTTCAAAGCTTAATGCATGCATCTTTTAATAGTTGTAGTTTTAAAGAGACACTATGGCCACCAGAACAACTACAGTTTAATGTAGTTGTACAGGTGAGTATAGTCAATCCGTGCAGGCTTTTTGCAATAAACACTGTCTTTTCAGCGAAAAGGCAGTGTTTACATCACTGCCTAGGGACAACTCTCAGTAGAAGAGGTGCTTCCTGGGGGCAGTGCTGCACAGTGTGCAACACTGACATTCAGTGTCTCCACCCTCTGCATGGGAACTTTCCTCATAGAGATGCACTGATTTAATGAATCTCTATGAGAAGATTCTGATTGGCCAGGGTGGCATTTGGCTCTACCCCTGGCTCGACTCCTTGGCTGAGATCATCAGAATTGACAATCTCAGCCAATCCAATGCTTTCCTACGGACAGCATTGTGATTGACGGAGAACATCAGCACCAGCAGACTGAAATAAAGGTAAGATTTTACTATATTAAAGAGGGCAAGGGATGTTGGGGTGAAAGGGGGAGGGGGGCTAGATAGGGTTTTTAACACTATATTTTCAAAAGTGCATGTTTGTGTTCCTAATCTTATAGTGTTCCTTTAAGGCTATACTTACTTAAATTCCCACTGTCTTTTTTTCATAAACATCTATGAAAAGGCCAATGTTGAACCCCCTATGCTTATAATTTTACATTTATAGCTATTTGTAAGTGAGTAGAAGGCATCTGTGGCTTTTTACCAGCTTGGGATGCAGGTTGAAATATGTCTTTGCATGATAGCATTTGTGTACAGTGCTGAACTACACAGCTCATACATTTTTGCTGGACAGAGGTTTATGGGATGCCTGCAGCTCTCCTACAGAAAGTAACGATAGTGCCAATAGTGACGAAGCTAAGTACAAATGGACAGGATCCAAAAAATAACTAGGAAGTAACCACACAATTTACATACAAACTAACTGCATTATTATAGAAAAAAATAAATCATGCAAGCTAGGAGAACACACCACCACCTAATGTGTTTTGAGCCTCAAGGGTATTTACTCATTGATGCATGAACTGTGTTAGTCATAAACTTATTTAACTAATTATTATTTTCCAGGGATTTCTCCACAAGCTTCTTTGATTGCTGGAGTGCCATAAGTAGCTGAAGATTCTTCAACTAAATCCTTGTCTGAAGAAACCTCTAAGCATAAGCTGCATATCCCCAGAATGCCTAATTTCAGAAATCTATGCATTTAAGTTATCTGTTGTATATTTCTATTGTTTTACTATTTAAAGTTTCACGAAATTGTGGGTCACCTCCAGCTTCAAGTTTCCATTTAATTATGGCTGAACATCAAAACATGATATATGTTTCCTACGTACAGACATAGATATTTTAATTCAAGTGTTCTATGTGTTCTCAAGCATATCATGACTAGCACCAACAGGGATATTCTGTATCAACAGTTACAATAAAGATTGAATTTCTCAAAGTATGTTATTTTATCTCCGGTGAGATAGTATCACTTTATGCCACTTCCAACTCCGAAGATGAGTCATCATGCTAAGAGTTATTTTGAGATTATTTCAATATTTTTTACTTTCCCCAGCAGAACAGTTTGGCAAGAAGGCAATATTATCTTCCATAAAATAAACATAAGATAAACTGTGTCTGTTACGGAAAACTTTGATAGCTGATGTTAAGGTTTTATCTTATTTTATATTGAAATGATATGCTGACAGATACAAAATAATCTCGAATTTAGAGCAATTTGTAACTGCACAAATATCCGTAGTTAAAATAGTTGTTCTTTTAGAAAGCAAGTATATCTTATTCATCTAATTCTACCTTGAAGCTCTTGAAATATCTTGTATTAGCTCTCCTGAATGAATAAAAAAATTGACAGCGTACTAGTCTTCACAAAAGGTGTAACTTTGTAAGGGATGGTCACAATAGCTCAAGGCCTATAGGCAGGGCCCACATCAATAACTTGTCTCCAGAGAACCACAGTTAGAAGCTCACAGTAGCAGTTGTGAATTAAGTGGACAGATATATGACATATGTTGCATAAAGTAAGTTACTCATCAAAACATTGCTACATTAAGAGAGTAGGATAAGGTTATATATATGAAAGAACACTGGCTACACAAACAAGAGTGCAGACAAAGTTGAAAAGCTTATAATTCATATTATATATTATATACGGTATATACTCGAAATCTAAGGAAGGTCCCAGAAGACCAATTTTCAAAGCATGTGGAAGTAGGGAGCTAGTTGTGTTATCCCAGTCTGTTCAGCTACATGAAAGTTATAACAGTTGAACTTTCATAACGAGAGAAGACTTGTCTTCCTTAGGGTTCTCTAATGATATACCGCTATATACTCGGCCAACAAAGGTAGCTTGGTTGCTGTCTGGGCTGAAAATCAATATGAACGTTATGCCTTCAGGGAGGTTTGTGATTTCACTACATGTGAGTTTATTTCTTTAAACCTTTTTACAGAGTTGCGCTCCATTCTAGAGTATGTAGAGGATTTTGGCTCTTCACTTGCTGTAATGTGGACTGGTAAAAACAAAATAATTTAAAGGTCACAAAACCTCTGAAGTCATAGTAGTATTTATACCATTGCTCAATTTTGTCTCAGATATTGGGATTATATTCAGGGTATTGATTTGATAATAAGGCTAAATCAACCAAGTTCATTTGCCCACTTCATTGTCTATAAATAAATTATAAATGTCCTAAGGAAAAGTGTATGCAGGTTTAAAATGGCACGCCCAAAGAAGAAGTGTGATTGAGTTTGTTCTTTGTCCGTTTGGTTGTAGGCGCGTTAGCAGGTGTTGGACCCACACATGTGTGGCAGAGATCACTACGCAATAATGATAGCATTGCTTAAAGAGTTCCTATTTTTGTTTTTTTTTTGTTTCAGGATACTATTCCCATGATAATTCAGGCTGGGGTTTCATGAATTTTGACAGTGGGGTTCAGTATATCTATAGCTTGGTGGGAATGTAGATCATGATTACTGTAGTAGCAGTTTTATTAGGCCAGGCAATAGATAACTGAAACTGCCCATGGATGGTTCACCTCACTGGTTTCAGTGTACCAAACAACCCCTCATTAGGATTATGCACAGTGGCACAGGTGGACACGGATATTGGAGACATTTCATAGATCCCTGCCAGGAGCAGCTGTCCTGACACCCCTGATATTAACTGCAGCACTAATCATGCAAAGTATTTTTATTTCTGTTTTGGGTTTCATGGCCATATGTGATTTGTGATAAGGATTGCATTTGTTCGTATTTTCATTCTACAGTTTTATCTTTCTGTACTCTAATTATGTACCCTCTCTGTATTTCTATACTGATACCAAATTAAAAAAAAAGAGATTGACAAAAAAACTAAATGCAGATTGTAAAGATTTGGCTATTCATTCAGTTTATTTTGCCTAATTTCATACTGTAACACGATGTTGGAATAATAAAACAGTTACTTCAATCAAATCAATGATTTATTTAAAATCAGACATGTCGTTTATCAACTAATTCGCTTCTGTACGCTATAGATTAGTGCATTGTTTTGTTTTAATTTAAAAGCTGCTAAGAGAAGTGAAATCTGTAAAAAGAATTAAAAGTCACAAACTATTCTGCAGTGTTCGGTAATGTAACTCCGTATCCCCTTTATCTTTTTTGCTTAATTTTGTGTTTTTAAAAGAGCCACACGGTACTGTGCTTAGAACAGAACTGTAAGTGTTAATGCTTTATTGTAAATGCTACTGTATTTCGAAAACGCATGTGCCCTGTTCAAAACACCAATAACTCACAGACTGAAAGAGAAAAATTAATAAAAATGTCAAAGCAATCTCAGCCTGTATTAGCCACCTCTATGGGTAATAGGGGTGGCATGTTCATTTAATGCACTTAAGCTTTTTCTTGTAATACCCACACTGTATATGGGTGTTATAATGTTCTGCATAAAACACTGCTTTATGGAACCACTACACTAGGGTTGTCTTTCCTTTAAGTATCTGGTGGAATGGAGTAACCTTTCAATTTGATTGATTATTCCAATACAATGTGAGCTATATTTTTCTTTCTACTGCATAGTAGAGTGCAAACCCTCCCCAAATACTCTGTGTTACTTTATTACTATTTAAAATGGCAAATTTAAACTGATGTAGAATAAAGACTTGGATGTTAACAGAACGATGTTGATGGTTTGGAGAGCTAAATTGATCGTACTCCTCAGGTAGGATGGGAAATTATAAATAAAATTGTTATGAACCAGAAAGAAAACATAGAGGGTGCACCTGTATTAAAGGAACCCTATAGTGTTAGGAATACAAATCTGTATTCCTAACACTGTAGGAACCCCCTACCCTGCTTCTTCCTTGTGGCCCCAACCTAGTGATGTTAATAGGGTATAAAAACTTTTTTTTTCATTTACCTGATTCCAGTCCCGATATCCCTCGGCGCTGGGTCAGGCTCCTCCTCCAACCAACATCAAACAATGGATAGGACCTAATGCGCAAACTTTAGGTTTTCCTAATAAAAAAGCATTTAATCAATACTTTCCTATGGGGATTTTGAAGACACTGGATGTCGTCATGCAAAGGAAAGCATGAGCATATCCAGCATCATTACATGGAGTCAAACAGCAGGAAGCGCCTCTAGTGGATGCCACCAGAGGCAGTCTTAACACTACAATATAAACATCACAGTTTCTCTAAAACTGCAATGTTTTACATTGCAGAATTAATGAAACGTGCACTGCACCCAGATCACCTCAATGAGATGATGTAGTCTGGGTGCCTAGAGTGTCCCATTACTGAAATTTACAATGACAGCTATACACAAGGCAGCACAAAGTGATCTGATGTGTTATATAGAGACTTGAATCTATCAAGATAGATTTGTGGTAGAGATGCATAAACTAGATCCATATAATTGATGAATGTTCTCATCTGTTTACCATGGAATTTTTAATAGCATCTGTTTCTGAATGTAGCAGATATTTTATGTGAATTATATTCTGATACTTTTTAGTTTACTGTGGATTATTTTGCTTTAAATATTGTTTTTCTGAGACCCACCTCTCATTCTCTAATTTAGTGAACCACAAATTGCTTCTGGACTACATTTCCCACGATGCTAAGCTAGCTTTTAGAGTCTAAAATCTAGCTGAGCATCATGGAAAATGTAGTCCAGAAACACTTTATGGTGTCACGGTTAGCCATCACTGTTATAAGTTATTGGAAGGTAAACTGGAGCTGAGGATTACAATAGGCCTAATTACAGAATTATAGCTAATGTTCCTATTGGCATGGTAGTAGTCACGAACTATAACTCCTGTGGTTCTGTGTCTTATGTGATTATTTGTAAAGAATAAGAAAAAAATAAAAACTTTTTTTTAAAAAAAGGAAAATTTTTATTATTCTAGAGGCAAATTATTTCAGCATTAGAGGTTAATATTACAATTACACATGGCTTAGGAATGGTTCATTCAACATTATTATTCAAGATAATACATGAAATGGTTTAGCAAACTGCCGTAACTCAGCTGTGTTTCCCTGCTCTGAGTCAACCTGTCCCAGGGGTGGCTAAAAACAGCTCAAGTCTGTGATTCTACTTCAACAGCTGTGTCTACAATTAGGCCACCCTTTATCTCCCTAATTACTTGTTCTTAACCAAAAATCTATTTATGAGGTTATTTTAAAGAATATAATACATGTTAATCAAACTATTCTGCTCTACACTGTTCTGTATGCTTTTCAAATGGAATGAATGTACTACATATATATACAAATCTGAATGCAAAGTTAGGTTAAAATAGCTGAATTTGAGTCTGTCTTTTAATTTAGCTACATTCTCAGCTTGACTATTTAGTTTCAATTTTGCCATTGGGACTCAATTCAAATTTTAGTAATAACCTTGTAAGTGGTCACTGTTGAGTGAAAAGGAAGTTCTGCGGTTTATTACTTCGTACAACTCACCTGATATGATAATAGCACAGCTGTAGGTAACAGTAAGCTTCGACATATCATTTTTATACTTCTGATGTTAGTTTGAATATATCAGTGTTGCCTGGATACAACATGTCTGTTCGTGTATTGTTGTGTTAGATAATATATTCAGCACTTAAAGTGCATTCAACGCGCTCAAACGGAGGCCAGAAAATGATGTGGATGTCATTAAATGGTATCATAAAAAGTACAAGAAATTGCCCACAGGAAACAATAACTATGTAGAAATTCAGAGCCAGAAGTGCAGGATATCTATTATTTAAAAAGTAAGAAATGAGAGTATGCGGGAGACTTTCCCTAGGGTCACGTTTACCATTCTTGGCTAAAAAACATCCAATAGCTATCAATGATAGAAAATCTGTTTGAAAAGTAATATTCTACTTGAAAATAATCTAAGCAACACCGGAAATAGCAAAGAGACTACAGACAGATTGGAGCAAATGCTGCGTACATCTGCAAAGATATGTGTAATTTTACATTTAGTGATGTTTCATGGCTGATGGGGTGTGTAATGGTTGTATTGTAGTGAATTGCAGCCTATCAACAATGGATGGTCAATGCAATGTCCACAGCTAAACCATAAAAATAGTATATAAGGATCGCTTTAACCAAGTACATTGTGATGCTACAATCACCTATGTGGGTCACTCCACCAAACAAAAGTGCAATACAAACAAATAAAAAATGGTGAGAGCACACTAGGAAATGTAAATATTACCACATATGAACATTTGGATTATCCTGTAAATTAAACAGAAAGGAAAAACATAGGGTAATAACATTCAAAACAGTGAAACATTAATTAAAAATCGATCTGACTCACATCGGCGGATGGATGCAAACCTGATGTCGGAAACGGAAGTGGGAGGGGCTTACCTTCCGGAAAAAAAAGCGCCAACAACGGACTTATTTAAAGGCTGGGACGCACAGAATGTATACTGCACTTTTGAGAAAGGCTAATGCCGAAACGCCTCAAGTGTATTTACATATGTTTTAAATGGACTCTTATATTTGGATTTTATTAGTTGTCTTTTTTTTTTATGTTCCAATAAATATTTTATTCTCAGTATCCTGCATCCTGGATTCTCTATGAGAATATAAATAAGAACAACAAGAAAGCTGCTGATATTTTATCCAGAGACCACCTACATTTATCCATTCAATGCCTTTAGTCTGAGCCAGCTTATTTAAGTGGCTCAGCAGCATGTGAGTGAGATCGATTTTAATTAATGTTTCACTGTTTTTGAACGTTATTACCCTATTTTTTTCCTGTCTGTTTTAATTTACAGGATTATTCAAATTTTCATATGTGGTAATATTTACGTTTTCTGGTGTGCTCTCATATTTTTTATTTGTTTGTATTGTAGGTACCATAACCATTTCATTGAATTGGTTGTAGTGCCTGTAGTCCCCTGTCAGCAAGCTATCCCTCCATTTAGTGTTAAATAGTTTTCATTCAGTTTAACACTAAATAAGGTTCCCTGTCCTGCCATAGCCTAGCCCCCAACTGATGTATTGCTAAGGCAGGGATAATGCAGTTCATTTTATCTATTCCAAGTCATAGACGCAGTGGGCATTGTGATGTTAAAGGGCTTCTGGGGACTTTTATTTAACATTAAAATATTAAAACCAGTTTAACGACTGGGAATGAATAGGCGAAATTAGGGTTAGGAAACTACTTATACTATATTTATTGTCTGAAAAGTTTAATCACCAGAGATTAATTGGCATATACAATGGTTTATTAAGGGTTTCGCGATCACTGTATCAAGAACTCATTAGACATTAAGAAGAAACAGTTGAGAGAGAAAGTTATGGCAGAACGTGTAGCTTTCATATTTTTCATAATTTTTTTATTTTTTCCTTTCCTGCTCTCTCCTTGGTATCTAGGATCGTGCGCTCGCCAAGCCGGATGTATAATAATTCAAACTAATCTCTTAATGGGGTAGCTCAGCATCATTATATTGATCCCGAATAGGATCTAGCTGGAGGGTCTGTGAAAGAGGGTATATCACAGGCCCATCCATTCTTCCTTTAAGGGATGTCTTTTTTTTATTTGTTGTTGTTACTTGTAATTGTTGTCTGGTTTTTTTGTATGTCTTAAGTTGACGCAGTTAGAGATGAGATATAATATTCAATTATTTATGCCAGAAGTTAGGAGAGATAGAGATATCTACCCTGCGGGGGTTTAGGCTTTAGCAGGCAAGGTAAAATGAACAAAGATAATAGGAAGCGATAGGATGAAGGAGAAAGAAAAATAAAGATAAAGTGAAAGCAGGAAAATAGTCATATGGTCAATGTTGTTTCAATTAACGCGCAAGGCCTAAACTCCCCACAGAAAACGAAATTGCTTTTCGAACGTGCAAATTTGGAAAATGCTCAAGTTGTTGATATTCAAGAGACCCATTGGCGCAAGGCCAATGAGGGAAAATTTTGTTTTAAAGATTTTCCTACCTCAGCCTGTTCCTCCTTTAAAGAAGAAAAAAAAAGAGAGAAGTAGCTATTTTTTTTTTTCATCTAAGTTAAATGTCTCTATGAAACATACGAAAACTGACACGATGGGCAGATGGATTATACTTATATGCATAATAGAAGATAGAGTATGTACATTAGCTAATATTTACGCCCCGAATACTTCTCAGATCCAGTTTTTACCTACGTTTTTTGCGCAATTAGATGAAATTAAGCAAGGCTTAACTATAGTCATGAGTGACTTTAATTTGGTAACTGACCCTAATTTAGATAGAAGGTCTGAAAAGGGTAAAACTCCTTTGAGGAATGTTATTAATCAAGCTAAAATTTTCCACAATGTAATTCAAAATGCAGCCCTTTTCAATATTTCATCCTACAGAGAAAGATTTCACATGTTTTAGTAAGACTCACTGTTCGTATTCAAGAATAGATTTTATATTTGGGGACCGTAATCTGTTAGAAAGAGTGAAAGCTACTAATATAGCTACGGTTACTTGGTCTGATCATAACATGGTGAAAATACAACTGAAGAACAAATTTATTAAGCAGAGACCAGACTGGAAACTAAATGATAAGATATTAATCTCTAAAGGCAATAGAGATCAGATTGCAAAGGCGATTGATATGTACTGGCTGGACAATGATAATAATGAAGTTTCTACGATTACAAAATGGTGTGCATTCAAAAGTGTTATAAGGGGATACATAATTAGTCTAGAAGCCAAGGCCAAAAAAAACAGGCAGAAATCACTGTCAAGTCTGTATATCAAATTAGGTCAATGCTAAAAAAATATAGCTGCACCTACAAGAGCCTTATCGAATCAAATTAGGATTATTGAAAATAAAATAAATGAAACTCTCATCTCTAAAATAAATATAAATTTACAGTATATGAAAATGAATTATTACTACAGGGGGAGCAAGGCAGATAAACTCCTCACAAACAAAGTTAAAAAAACGACAAAAAGCCAAACTAATTACAAAAATAAGACACGGAACTGAAATAATATTGGATCCCAACAAAATTGGTGCGGCATTTAGAGATTATTATAATAAATTATATAATTTACCGGTCATATCATCGCAAGAAGATATAAACAATTATCTTTTGAATATCCACCTCCCTAGGCTAAATGCCTCCCAATTAGGCCAATTGAATAAAGATATCTCTCTCCAAGATGTTATCGATTCCATTAATGCTATGAAAAAAAATAAAGCGCCGAACCCCTGGCGTATGAAATACGTAAAAACCCTGATATAACAGGTTTTAATAAGAGGGGTAAAGACTTTAAGATAAGTCAATATGCTGATGATATACTATTAACTTTAACCAATCCAATTCATTCAGTACCAGTTTCAATGCGAGTAACTGAAAGTTATAGCCGTTTGTCTTATTACAAACTTAAAGGACCACTATAGTGCCAGGAAAACAAACTCGTTTTCCTGGCACTATAGTGCCCTGAGGATGCCCCCGCCCTCATGGCCCCACTCCCGCCGGGCTGAAGGGGGAGGAAGGGGGTTAAACACTCACCTTTCTCCATCGCTGGGCTCCCTCGGCGCTGGGGACTCTCCTCCTCCTTCGGTCGTCATAGGCTGAATGCGCATGCGCGGCAATGCCGCGCGCGCATTTAGCCAGTCCATAGGAAAGCATTCTCAATGCTTTCCTATGGACACTGGCGTCTTCTCACTGTGAAAATCACAGTGAGAAACGTGGAAGTACTTCTAGCGGCTGTCAATGAGACAGCCACTAGAGGCTGGATTAACCCTAAAGTAAACATAGCAGTTTCTCTGAAACTGCTATGTTCATAGCAGGCAGGGTTAATCCTAGATGGACCTGGCACCCAGACCACTTAATTGAGCTGAAGTGGTCTGTGTGCCTATAGTGGTCCTTCAATGTCCAAAAACCTGCGGTATTACCTTTCTATATGCAAGAAGAAGATTACCAATATCTAAATGAACATTATGCCTTTAAATGGGAAAAAAAGGGATTTGTGTATCTTGGGATAAATATAGTAAGAGAACCAGAGAATATAATGAAGGTTAATGTAATTCCTCTGATTAGAGAATGCATGCATTCTCTAAAACATTGAAACTCATTAGAGATATCCTGGTGGGGCAGGGTCGATTTTATTAAGGCTTATATTTTTCCTAAATGTATTTATTTATTGAGGATGATTCCGTTACAGATACAACCTCAACGGCTTAAACTCATAAATAAAATCTTCAGAGACTATATTTGGCTTGATAGGAAGCCCAGGATAGGGCAGGAACTCCTATATTTGAAGCACAAACCAGGAGGTATTGGCTTTCCAAATATTTTCCGATATCACCAAGCGGCTCAGCTGCTGTACACCCTACCCTTAATTAAGCAGGATAGATACCCACAAAATTGGTTTGAAATAGAGGGGGGAGATTTTACAGTTCAATATAATACTGTTAGATTATTGTGGCCTATAAGAAATAGTATTCGAAATAAAGACACAAGGTGCTTAACCGATAATCCAATAACTAGACCTCTTGTAAAGTTCTGGACCTATTTTAAAAATCAGTTAGAACTAAGGAATAAAATATTACCTGCATTGCCTTTTAAAGGCCTGGAGATATGGTTGGTAAATTTACACACGGCAGAATGAACTAGGCATGGGATTTATAAAATCACAGATGTATTAGAAGATAAGAAGATTATTTCCTTCTCCGAGTTCCGAAGAGTCTTCGACATTCCAGCCACACGGACCTTTAATTTTATTAGGATAAAAAGTTTTCTACATAGTTCTTTATGCGGTATGACAGAGTCATCTCCAGTTTCTAAATTAAATGATTTAATAGACTCAGAGAAAAATATAAAAATATTAACTAGATGTGTTGAGATTATGAAAAGTGTAAAAGGACTTCTTCAGCCCCTTGCTAAAACTAAATGGGAGAGAGACTTATCAATAAAAATCGATATAAAGGATTGGAACAGGGCTCTTCAAACAGTTTACTCAACGGCCCATTGCTTGAATATTATGGAAGCATATTATAAGCTTCTAAATCGATGGTATATGACTCCCAATATGATTCAGACATTTTCAAAGGAAGAGATCTCTAGATGCTGGAGATGTGGAAATGAGGGAGCAAATGAATTACATATATGGTGGGACTGTGCTCCGATCAGGCAAGCATGGGATCAATTCTTGGTTCAAATAAACAATCTTCTGGGTATCACGCACATTTGGACTCCAGATACTTTACTTTTACATTTAAATCTACCACAATTATCTAAAGAGAAGAAATGTTTGCTGATCCACGCTTTGATGGCTATTAAGATGTCCATTACTAAAAACTGGAAAAAGACACCAATTAGGAATATTAAGGAAACTATTATAACCCAGTGTAAAATGGAAAGGGGTATAGCCTCCACTTTATGTTTTAATATACGTCAATATGAGATGTGGGATAACTGCATAAAGGTTCTTGAAAAGCCAATACTGGCAAGAGCACTTTGACAACTATCAGATGAGAAACTCACGGGGGAATCTATTACGATTTAAGACGGGCATAAATTATAATTTGTGTAATTAAGGAAGTATTGTCAACTTCTATGTTTGTATATTTGTCTATGAGTAGAGCTGGGAATGTGGGGCATATGGTTCTCTGCACTTTCACCTCTACCAATGTTTTTATGTTTGAAGTATAATTCTCGGAGAGATGTATTACTGTATAATAATATTGTTCATGTATATGCGATGGAACAACTTATGCGTACTCCGTTGTGTCTATGTTTAATTTTGAATTTTTTGTACCAAATTTTAAAAAAAAATATCAATAAATTATCAAAAAAAAAAAGCAAAAAAAAACAAACAGTTTAACACTTAATGGAAGGATGTGCCATGGGACTCCGGTCTCCATAACAACTTCAAATAAATGAAGTAATTGAGACTATAGTACCCCTTTAATGGATCAGTCTACTTGTTTTATTTGCAAATGCACAGGATTCAGGTAGTGGCTAAATTTGCATACATACACATTAAAACATCAAAAATCATAATTAAGACACTTTATAGAAGCAATGTCATTTGAACGTTCTCTGCATTTTTGGAAAGGTTTCCCTAGATAAATTGTCTAATTGGATGGTGTCTGGGGGAGAAAGGAAGTGGAAGGTAGGTGTATGTATATGTATATATAAACACACACACATACATACTTGTGTGAAGCTCTACCTTCGTACTATGTTTAGCTCCTGGCAAATAAAATAATACATAGAGCATCAAATGCATTCGGTCGCATCCACTGGGCCCCTTGAAATAAGGTGTTTTTTTCCAAACAAGCATCTTGAGTGATGGCTTATGGGTAGTGGTAAGATGCACTAAGTTCACGCTCATTAAAGTTCCACTTTTTGCCATAGGTTTGTCATATGTTGCCAAACTCACAAATTTGTTTTTTTCCGAAATATTCTGTTTTTATGAAAAATGTAAAAGTGACAAAGCCAGTATCTCTCAAATGTGACAAATGGCACTCTGCAGACATTATGCTACTGTCAAATACACAGTAGGTGGAATGTATCAGTAAGTATGGCATCCTTTGTATTCTAACTAAAGATCAAAACACTTTACGTATTGTCTTTTAATTAAAGCATATTAATACAAATGATCCAACATACATTTTTTTTTTATATTTAAAATGTAATACTGGGTGTTTAAGAGAGGATACAGTATACCTGTTATTTGAACAAAGCAGAAATTTATATAATTTATATAAAATGTATAAATATATGTAGTTACATTTCCTGATTTAAGTTGTGTCTTTTTATATAGCTCCCAACATAGGCATGCTTTGAAGAGGGATGCCAGTGGTGGGGTCAAATGGGGTGGGCCAGTGACAAGAATCATGTCACTGGTGCCGCCCGAAAGGATTGAGTTGCAGATCCACTCATAGCAGGTCAACCTGGCATGAATGCAGTCAAGGCTGCCTGCCAATAAAGCAGGCTTACCCATCATGGCAGATCATGCAGATAATGGTGTTTCAGAGCACAAACATATTTAATAATGTACTTATGCTACTCTTTCTGGGGACAAAAGGGAACTAGGTTGTGATGGCAGGACAGGATCCTAAAATAAGGGCTGTCTGCCGAAAATGGGATGCTTGAAAGGCCTGCTATTTATCAACCATTAGGGAGATTTGTTTAATTCACTACATGCATTTTCGATAATGAAACATGGTACAACAAAATACTTGCAATCATTCTAACAAACTAACATGCCAAGGCCTCACTCACATCTTTGTTCATTTTGTTGAGGAAATCATGTTTCTTTCCTACATATTTCTATATTTTGTTTTTTTGGCATGCCATGTGAACTATTTGTTTCCGAGCAGATATGTGTCTGGAATTACCTTCAAAAGTTTAATGAGCTTCTTGACAACTCCTCCTTGAACTGCATGCTGCACTGCCGCTGTGCATTGTGGGAGGACCCTGCTTAAAATTCCCACACTTCTCTGCAGAGAAATAAATATGAAGTAAGTAATGAAATGCCTCACAAATGTAATCATTTCATGTATAGTTTACACTGATCAGCAACAACGTTAATATCACCAGCCTAATCTTGTGTAAGTCCCCCTTTGGGTCGCTAAGGCCTACTTATATTTCTTGTCTCAACTTGCTGAACTGGTGCATGTCGCATGGTCGCATTGTCTTAGAATGTAGTGGAGCCTTCTCAACGATTTTAAGTGTTACTGAATAACAAAACATACTGAGCCTGCATTGGCCACCGAGTTAAGTCCCAGTCCACAGAAGTTCTGGGCAAGCCAATACAAGGAAAGGATGTTGTACTTTAATGCAAATCAGCAAACATAATTTATTTATATGAGTTCCTTTTAGTTATAATTTTATCTGTTGCATTAAGAGCTGTAATTTTTTGTCCTAGGTTGATTTATTTCTTTCACAGAAAGTCACTTTACACATGAACAAGAACTACAATAAAAACCAACAATGTATTTTTTATGGAGTAAAATTAATTTGACTACTTGTCCGTATATATTGTAATTTCTGTATTTCTACTTTGTACCATCATTGTACTATGCCACTGATGGCGAACCTATGGCACGCCGAGCCTTCTCTGTGGGCATGCAACCATAGGTCGCCGAATGGGTGCCCACATGTCCCGGATCGCCCGGGACAGTCCCGCATTTTGAGAGTCTGTCCCTGGCACCCTCATTCCAGGACAATGTAGTGTCCCGGAATGAGTTGAGCTGATCCGGGGGGGAGGGGCCAACTGGGCATCAGCCAGCATCCCTCATCAGCCAGCCCCAGGAATTAACCTCCCTGCAAACAAATGGTATGGGAGCAAAGGATGGTTAACAAATGTAAATTGCAATTTGAGTGTTTGCCTATGCATATGTTTAGGTGTGTATCTGTGTGTGTGTGTGTGTGTATCTGAGTGTCAGTGTATATCTATGAGTGTCAGTGTGTGTATCTGTGAGTGTCAGAGTATATCTGTGAGTATGTGTGCCAGTGTCGGTATCTGTTAGTGTCAGTGTATATCTGTGAGTATGCGTATCAGTCTGTGTATCTGTGATTGTGTGTGTGTATATAATTGCTGTGTTGGCACTTTGAGGAAAAAATATTGGTTTGTATTGCGGCTTGGGCACTCGGGCTCAAGAATATTTGCCATCACTGTTCTATGCTGTAGAACTTTATAGTTACTTTATAGAAATTATATTAATGATAATTAAGTTCCACTTGGGTTTTTACTATGTTTTACTTAATCTTTTAAACAAGTTATACATCATTTGGTTTAATAGTATGTCTCTAATATTGTTTCCTTTAATAAAGTGGTCATTGTAGATACATTTTTTTAAAACAGGATTCCCAATAGGTTCTGGACACTATCTACGAAAATGAAACATTATTTTTGATCAGTCCTATATAGCATTTTGATGTGCTATCCAGTAATAGTTGAAATATTTTTGCCCAGCACATCCCTTTCCTGTCATAATAGGGGGTAGCATCTTGGAAATGCAAAATTAGACATTCCCTGGTTTGGTCATACATGTCAAAGACCACCTACCCAAACAGCTACCCCTCCTGTTAAAATGTATGTAAACTAGAAAGACCTCATGCTCCATGCGGTATATTTCTTATATATTTTTCTAGAGATAATCTGTGTTACATAACTAAATATAATTTTATTTATTATTTTTGATTTTGGACCACTTAATGACTTTACTTACTTGCGTATAAAATATAAAGACAATGATCATGTGAGCGTGGCATAATGGGTAACACCAGAACAGTTGTAGGCTGTGAGAGCTCATCATTTAATATCAAACAGCATTAGAAATTAATTGAGAAGGGTATTAGGTCTACACTAAAAACAGTGGATTATTTTGTTTTTGACGTAGGTGTTGTAACTGTTTATTTTGTGTGTTTGTATAATTACGGTTGTGTTGTGTTTATGGACTATTTGTGGAAAATACATTTGTTTTAAGTGTTATTTTCAGCAACATCTACAGTTGCAAGAAAAAGTATCTGAACCCTTTGGAATGATATGGATTCCTGCACAAATTGGTCATAAAATGAGATCTGATCATCATCTAAGTCACAACAACAGACAATCACAGTCTGCTTAAACTAATAACACACAAAGAATGAAATGTTGCCATGTTTTTATTGAACACACCATGTAAACATTCACAGTGCAGGTGGAAAAAGTATGTGAACCTCTAGACTAATGACATCTCCAAGAGCTAATTGGAGTGAGATGTCAGCCAACTGGAGTCCAATCAATGAGATGAGATTGGAGGTGTTGGTTACATCTGCCCTGCCCTATTAAAAACACACACCAGTTCTGCATTGCCTGATGTGAATGATGCCTCGCACAAAAGAGCTCTAAGAAAACCTACGATTAAGAATTGTTGACTTGCATAAAGCTGGAAAGGGTTATAAACGTATCTCCAAAAGCCTTGCTTTTCATCAGTCCACGGTAAGACAAATTGTCTATAAATGGAGAAAGTTCAGCACTGCTGCTACTCTCCCTAGGAGTGGCTGTCCTGTAAAGACGACTGCAAGAGCACAGCGTAGACTGCTCAATGAGGTGAAAAAGAATCCTAGAGTGTCAGATAAAGACTTACAAAAGTCACTGGCAAATGCTAACATCTCTGTTAGCGAATCTACAATACGTAAAACACTAAACAAGAATGGATTTCATGGGAGGCTATCACAGAGGAAGCCACTACTGTCCAAACAAAACATTGCTGCACGTTTACAGTTTGCACAAGAGCACCTGGATGTTCCACAGCAGTACTGGCAAAATATTCTGTGGACAGATGAAACCAAAGTTGAGTTGTTTTGAAGAAACACACAACACTATGTGTGGCGAAAAAAAAGGCACAGCACACCAACATCAAAACCTCATCCCAACTGTGAAGTATGGTGGTGGGGGCATCATGGTTTGGGGCTGCTTTGCTGCGTCAGGGCCTGGACAGATTGCCATCATCGAAGGAAAAATGAATTTCCAAGTTTATCAAGACATTTTGCAGGAGAATTTAAGGCCATCTGTCTACCAGCTGAAGCTCAACAGAAGATGGGTGTTGCAACAGGACAATGACCCAAAGCATAGAAGTAAATCAACAACAGAATGGCTTAAACAGAAGAAAATACGCCTTCTGAAGTGGCCCAGTCAGAGTCCTGACCTCAACCCGATTGAGATGTTGTGGCATGACCTCAAGAAAGCGATTCACACCAGACATCCCAAGAATATTGCGGAATGGAAACAGTTCTGTAAAGAGGAATGGTCAAGAATTACTCCTGACCGTTGTGCACGTCTGATCTGCAACTACAGGAAACGTTTGGTTGAAGTTATTGCTGCCAAAAGGAGGTTCAACCAGTTATTAAATCCAAGGGTTCACATACTTTTTCCACCTGCACTGTGAATGTTTACATGGTGTGTTCAATACAAACATGGCAACATTTCATTCTTTGTGTGTTGTTAGTTTAAGCAGACTGTGATTGTCTATTGTTGTGACTTCGATGATGATCAGATCACATTTTATGACCAATTTGTGCAGAAATCCATATCATTCCAAAGGGTTCACATACTTTTTCTTGCAACTGTACATGTAATTTTAATGAACCCTTATGGACTGCAGCTTGCAGTTTGTTTTGGCTATGAGAAATTAATCAACAACATATGCTCACTTAATGTAATTAGTCTGATTTGATGGCCAATGACGATTGTTTCATACAGAAAAGAAACTGCCTGACGTTAAATTGAATTGTGTTATCATTTGCAGAAAACGACAGTGAGTTTTTGGTGCTAAACTGATCTAACGTTAGGTATTTTAGTAAATATTTTCAGAGTAGTCAAAAAGTATTTAAAACATGACAAGGATTTACAGTTAACATAATTTAATTTGTAGGAAGATTACATTTTTACTTACTGTAAGAAAAGCACCATCTTTGCTGCATAACAGTTGTATACACCTGGATGTTATATCCATGGCTCGTTCCTAGAAAGATTAGTGGCAAACAGCAAATTACAGAGGCGATGTTATAATTCTCTAAGAATAAATGAACAGGCATTAATTAACAGGTTAATGTTGGCAACAAACCATTATTTGTTAAGATGATTACTTAGTTGCATGTGTACACCATGCTCCTTCTACCAGTAAATGTGGCTGCTAAATCTGAAGAGATATATTGTCCTTCGTTTTCTACCATCTCAGCCAGGTCATAGTGGTGGATCGAACTGTAGTTAGGCTGAATTTGTGCAAAATTCCCATATCTGACCAGAAATATACTCAAATTACTGACTCACAAAAATGTGAATTTCCAAACATTTACTGGGGTTTCAATACTCAAAATTGCCTGTACAGCCAAAAAAAGAGATGACTGATGGCAAAAAAGATGATTTATGGCTGTGTAATTTTTTATCCACTGCTTCTCCTGTTTTCCCTCCTATTTGTTACTTTTTCTTACTTTACCTGAGAACCAAGTGGTTGGAAAATGCTCCTATCATTGTTCTGCATTATGTATATATTTTGCAGCATCCTGATTGGACAATTTTCATGTCTTTTTGGCTTGTCGAACAGCCAACCAATGTCTAGTGTCCCAGAAATTGATTCTATCTTTGGAAAAAATAATGTGGCAGCACCAAATGTCTCACCATAAAAAAGTCTAGTCATTAGTAAATATTTCATAGATTCACCTGATGCTGCATGTATTAGTATGTTTTGGTGAAGGGGGTTAAACATGGTCCTACTGGTGCCCCATGAGAGTTATGGGTGCAGTAAGGTAAATTCCTTAATATTGAAACTGGAGCCTCAATGGCTAACACTCACCTATAACACTAAAGTTTAAAACTAACCTCTATCTTGCATGCATAGCACTAATTCCTTTATATTTCAAGTATGTTGTGGTGTTTCTGCATAAGTGATTTGGGTGCAGTTGGGGTTGTTCTTAATACATTGTGTGTCCACTTTACATGGTTCTGCTGTAATGGCACTCTGAGAGACAAAAAAAAGTCCCCCAATAACCCTCTAAGTGTGAAAATAGAAATATTGATATTGTAAATATACAAAAATAATACTACAAAAAAATAACACTTCCTAGCCATAGATGTGTTCAGCCCATTAAATATGGGTTTGCACTCAAGGAAACTAAAGTCTAAACCTTGCGTGAAAATACAAAAACATAATTAAACACAAACTTCACTTTTTTACTCTAGTAATAAGTAGGTGTATACTAAAATTGTTTTGCTTTAATACATGAGCTAACTCAAAGGTGCACTAAAGTGCCCGTAGGCATCTAACGTCTAAACAGGAAGGACAATTTGTCCCTGCAATAGGGTGTGTTTGGGGACAAATGGCACAACTTGCACACCTCTAGTGCACACCTGTGTTCCTACCTATTGATAGTAGTTAAATTATATTTAATAATAGCAGGTCAATTGGTTGTCATGAAATTACAAAACAAAATTGTAAAAAATAAGATACCTTACAAACCAACATCTCTCCACATGTTCAGCTCAGTATGTTCTTAGATTATTATTATTATTATTATTTACCTGGATGGCTCCATTCTGTTCCAATGTCATGTTTAACATGAGGCCAAGCACGGCTGATAAAATGTCTCTATTCTCTTCTCCATGCATACTACATTCATCCTAAATGGAAACAGAAATCATCATTATAATAAAACAGCACCGGTATCACTAAATTCTTTGTGGTTACATCTGAGTTATCCCTTGGAAAACTGATTGGATAAACCCCAATGACAACTAAAATAAAGCGATTCCTTAAGATGGGCACTTTCTGAGTAACAGAGTTTGTATGCAAGCAAACCTTTCCCAAAAATAGTCTCAAACTTGACATACCACCACAGACAGGCAGGAGTCCCAACATTCGAGAGAACCAGCCATCTGCTTCCTTATATATTGGTCTTCAATCAGATTTCCTATAACACTGATACATTGTAGAAACAGTTCCTTACCGACCAGCTGAACCTTGTTCTGCGGCACAAAAGAGTTAGGTGAGAGACTATACTAAAGCATAAATAGGAATAATAGTACACAGTATTCAGCTAAGGCATCATATGCAAAATTGCATCCCCTAGTGAAGAGAATGCCACTTTAGTATAGGACATTTATCAAGAACAGAACTGGTCTCAAATTTAGAGATGTTTGCTTATAGGACTTTCTGCATGAAATATAAAAAAGTATGCAAATTCTACAGGGAGCTGTTACAAAACCAAAAAAATAAAAATTAGATAAAATTTGGGTCCTTAGGGTCACTGAATGACTAGGGGGTCTTAGTGACTGGTTGCAAACCATTTGCTCACACTATGGTTGATGACGAGAAGGTTAAATATGCCAAAACAATTGGAACTTGCTGTGGAGGTTATTATTGCAAAAAGATTATGGTGAAAATACTTTTTATGTCAAACATCTGCTGGGGGGGACATCATATTAATATTCATATGTTCATATTCAAAAGGGATTATCGAACAGGTATACCTTTAATTGGCTTTAAGCTTGGTACTGTTTAGGTTTCATCAGATGATATATCCATAATGTTTATGATTAATGTTAATTATTAACAGCCATAAATTCCGGTTGTGGCAATGGAATGTTTTATCAAATAAATTGTGAATAAAAGGTTTCTAGCATGGGTGTCATCATGAAGTGCCGGCCATCGGTTGCTGGCCTTCATTTTGCGTACGTTTCTGCCAGAAATTGTCTGGGAAGTATTATACTGACAGAGTTTTGTGAATCAAAGGCTTGTGTGCATAGTTTATTAAATGACTTCCAAAATACAATGTGTCTTATTAACTTGAATTTTCTTACCAGTACACCAGTTATGCACGGCAATAATGCAGAAGAAAAGTTTGCTCGGAAGTGGACTTTTAACCTGTTATTAACAATAAAAGTATAAAAAAGACATGTAGAAGGGAATCAGTAAAAAAGCTTGAAAAAGAAAGAATATGATGTTAAGCACTTAAAATTGGTTGTACTATGAATGCTAAGACAAAGTGTCTACTGAAAATGTCAGGCTACCAAACCACTTGCTACATGAACTGTCTGAATATGAGAGGAGATGCCCATCAAGAATTTAGGTATTCTCTAAACCTTAATCCCATTATTTAAAAGTCACCCCATTTCTTAGCAAAAATAGGAAATCTGAGGATTACTAATAAATAGTAAAATTATAGGCAAAATAGAATGTTGCGTACATAAGTGCATTTAAATTACAAAATATAATAACTAATTTTTGTGTAACTGTTTAAAACTATAATCTCAGAAAAGGTATATTATTTTCATCTAACCAAGCGAGGTAAGTTTAGCTGTAATTCACTCTTGAATTTCTGACAGATTTTAAGTGTAGTGATTTTCGAATTGTATTATAATTTTCAAACCATCAGTGACAGTTAATCATAAAAACCCTGCAGAGAATTGAGAGTTATAATTTACTGCGTAGCATTCAGCTATGAACTGTGAAGAAAAGAGCAAAAAGGTTCTCTCTATATTATTATGACGTAGATTTCCTATTGTGTTCAAGGTTAGCTAAAATTATTTATTCTATTTAAAAAAACAAAACAGAATGGATTCAAAATGATCAATATATATAGTTTTTAAATTGTCATATGTAATGAGTAAGTATGATGGATCTCCAAAAATTGAAACCATTTGACAGTTTTTTTTATTATTATTAAAAAACAAAACAAAACATTTTATCATGTGATGCATAGTTGGAACATAAACAAAATGTTATACATTTCTTTTAAACACATGATATATAGCTACCATAGCACAACAAATAAGGAAAAATATGCATAATTTAATAATTCATCTATTTCAGAAACCCTGAAAGAAAACGCATGGAAAATATATGCAATGACAAAAATAATACTTTTACGACATACTGTATTCATCATGGTCTAACATTAGTAAAAAAACCAAAAAAAAAAACTCTAATATAACCTGCATAAATCAGGGTTATTCATTAAATTTCAAATTTTCACAAATTAATGCAGAATAGCAAAACCAAGGACATATAGCCAATCTGTGATAAGAACTGAGTTTAGATTCACGTGTAGGAAAAAAAAAGCGAGTTCTATGCCAAAATGATGGTTTTAAACAAGGTATCAAATCCTATAATATCCTATAAGATGGTGCATAGTATAGATTAGAACACATTAAGGATCACACTCATGTGAGTTATATAATGGCTCTAATGAACTTGTTTTATCCAAGGATCCAAAGAATGCTCACATTGAGGTTAAACCCCCAACCAGTTCCACAATAAAAGAGACATATAGCCTTACTCACATGGAGAGTAGTGGTGTACCAACATAAATCATATCCAAGTGATATTGATTACCTTTCCTCCAGTGTTAAATTAAAAAGTAGATCTATGGCAAGGTTTGCTCTAACATCCAAGAGGATAACATATTCTAGAAGTATCTGCAACAATCTGAAAAACATAGATACTACTAATAAAGCACTGGAATACATCAGATATTATAACTTCAAAACATAATTTTATAATGCAGATATGATTGTATTAACTTTTAGAAATTTTGTGCAATGAAAAAAAAAATATTGGGTAATTAAACAGCCACAGATATCATAACCTCTTGGGTAATTAACCAACCTAATATGACAGTGATTATGGGGTACAGTAAGGCTGTGTAACAGCAGTTATCATCTGACAAAATACATAATTCACAGACACATTTGATAAAAGGATCTTATCTGTAAGTTGTAGATAAGTAAATAAGTATTTAATTAAGTGTTGATGTTATACAATAGTTGTATATGGATGCCAAGAGATCTAGGGCTAAGAAGAAATGTATCACACATAATTTTAACTAAATGTACATTTGACCCAGATTCTGTATACATAACACTTTTGTAAGAGTAATTGTGACCTTGGTATATAGATGATATGATTAGCAGGTTGAAGACAATGGTACTTACACACAATATCAGTTCCTTTCCATAAAAGAGTTCCATTAAATTGGGTAATCATTAAAACAAGAAACTAGGATGCACTAGTCAAATGTACCCTTTGTATTCAAGATGCAAATTTATTTTATTTTTTCTTTTAGTTAGGATTCTATTGGATTTCATTTATTTATTTTGTAATTATAGTATAGGCATATATAGGCAGTGGTTATTATTATTATTATCTATATTAAGATGGATGATTTTCACTGACTGTGTGTCCAAACAGGGAAGAAAAGGGAACGCAAGAGAAAAAAATAAAACAAAAGTTGACAGACATCAAGTGAAAAAAAAAATCGATACATTAGGGAAAAAAGTAACTTTTCTTTTCATTATAATTTACTAGTATTCATTGTTTAAAGGGAGGACAATGGCCCAATGTTAAAGTCTGTTATACATACATAAGGAGACATGTACATTTTTGAGAAGGGCTAGGGTTAGGAAACTGAATGAGAACTTAGTGTTGCTGGAAATTAGAGCTAGGAAAAAAGGCTCTGAAATCTGAAATCCATGGAGGGCAAGAGAATAGTAGTTAAGAAATAACATTACATGTTAAAAGAACACTATAGCATAGTCCACTCTTAACAGGTTCCGGGCCCTACCTATGAGGAGTAAACCTGCAGTTTTTCCTTACCTATTCTCCCTCGCAGCGCCTGATACCGCACTACCACCCCGCCTCTATGGCTAAACTCTTCAAGAGTGATGATCTCAGCCATTCCAATGCTCTCCCATAGGAAAGCATTGTGAGTCTAGTGTGCATGTGTGGCAAAAGGCAGCACTGTGCCAATCAGATAGTCTCTGATTGGTGCATACGTTTCACTCATCTATTTTGGTACAAGTGCCTCTAGTAGCTGTCACAGTGACAGTCACAAGAGGCATTTAAAACTGCAATGTAAACATTGCTGCTCCTGCAGGGTTAGAACAACAGGAATGCGGCACTTCATTGAGATGAAACAGTAACAGTGTGTGTATATATATATGTAACAGAGTGCGTGCGTATGTTGGCAGTGGTGCCATGAGGTCTGTGGTGGAGGCACATTGAGATGAAGTGATCTGTGTGCCTACAGTGTCCCTTTAAAATTGGAGCTTGTTTAAATAGAATACAGGCCAATGCAATGGTCTAATCAAAATATGCAAATATCTGCACTTTGCCTGCAGCAGAATATCCAGCAAACATGTCTAAGATCCGCATTTCATTTATTTTTCACAATCGTAGAGCATATTTCAAAATAATAGCACTTTTAGATGTTTTCATGCAAATTCCCCAAAAAGAGATGAATAGTTAGTCACTAAATAGCATCTAAAGCTAACGGAAGCGTCAGAAGCGTACACAGCACACAAAAAAAACAGTTGGTTCTATATATGTAAAATATATAGAGAACAAAAAAACACAGAAAATGTAAAGCAAGACTGTACTTTAACAGCTATGTCCTCAGGATCTGTGAAAAAAAAAAGGAGGAGGGGGGGGGTTCTCCATTCCAGGTCCAAATAGTACAAAGTCTAAGGTTTTTATTGCTTGTTAAAAGTTCAGGTAGGCAGCTTGAACAACCCCAACCAGAGTCTCTCTTTTCTGTTTAGAGAATAGTGGGAGGAAAGCTCTCAGGATCTGTCTGTCTGCATAGAGGATTCAATCCAGTTTGTATCGTGGAACAAAGCTCTTTTTATACTTGTGCCAGTTTCAGTACAAAGTTCTCTATTGGGACTTGCTGTTTCCAAGTTTATAAAACATGTATTCTCACACGCCGTTATTTTCTGTTCTTTGATGTATTCCTTAGCACAGGGGTGTCAAACTAATTTGTTCTGGAGGGTCAAATTGTCCACTGAAATAGGTATGGAGGGCCGAATGCATAAGATTTATATACACACAAGAACATAGAAAAAAGAGCAGACACAAAGAACAGTTTCACATAATGTCATATATGTAATTTATTACTTTCTTACAACTATAAAAAAAAAGTGTATTTGCGTGTAGTGTGTGTGTTTGAATGCAGTGGTGTGTTTGTAGTAATGGCATTTGAATTCAATAATTTGTTTGCATGTTTCAATGTAGGGATGTATTTGTGTGCAATGTTGATATTTCAATGCAGAGTTGTGTTTCTGTGCATTGTTGGTGTTTGAATCCTGGGGAGTATTTGTGTTCAGTGTTGGTATTTGAATGCTGGGATGTATGCACTGACACACACAGATACACACACTGAAACAGATATGCAGACACACTCAGTTACATACTGACATTTTTAAACATACAAACACACACAGACACATAGGCACACAGGCACAAATGCATATAAATATTAGCATGGTTTTAGCAATATTTCTTTAAGCTTTCCTCCCCCTCCTTTGTGTGTTTGTCTGCTCCTGCCTCATTGCACAGCTGGGAGTTGCAGGAGGGGAGGCGGGTGACAATGCTGTGACAGGGGCCAGGTGCGATCCACTATTTAAGGCAACCAGTCCCCTGATCTAACAATTACCTGATGGGCCTTGCGGCACCACTGCCAACATACACACACTCTTTTACACATATATACACATATATACATACACATTGTTGCACATATACTCTGATTAGCCACAACATTAAAACAACCTGCCTAATGTCATGTATCATATTATCTGCCAATAAAGCTCTGACACACATCAGAATGTGTTCTGTGGTATTTGGCACCAGGAAGTCAGCAGCAGATCCTTTAATTTCTGCAAGTTGCAAGGTGGGGCCTACATAGATCATATTTGTTATTCCAGCACATCCCACAGATGCTCAATTGGATTGAGATCTGGACAATTCGGAGGCCAAGACATCACCTTGAACGCTTTGTTCCTCAAACCATCCCTGAACAGTTTTAGCCTTCTTCCCATAGTGCACCCTGCTGCCATCTCTTCCACAGGTAAATGATGCACACACACCTGGCCATTAACCTGATCTAAAAGGAAACATTATTCATCAGACTAGGTTTCTTCCATTGTTCTATAGTCCAGGTAATCTGGTCGCCTAGATGATGTGGTCACTTTAAGGTCAAGCGTAACATCCTATGTTTTGAATTATTAAAGAAGCACCATTAATGGGTAGATTCTGATAAAATGCAGGGAAAAATACAGCGAACAGGATTTTTCTCAGCGCGAATGTAGCGTTACTTACCTTAACCGGGGGCCGGTCGCGGTCCTCTCTTCAAGCCGCGCGCGGTCCTGCGGCTGCACGAGCCGCGCGCGGCTCATCCAACTGCTTTGGATGGAAGGCGGGCAGTGACCGCGTGAGGCGGTCACGTGTCCCGCCTGAAACTAAGAGCGCGCCGCGAGTCTCGGGCGCGCTCTTAAAGAGACAGTGGGAGCCTAATTGCCAAAAGGCTCCCATTGGCTCCTGTCATACCACACTCCCTGTACAATTACCTATAGGGGGTGTGGAAGTGACAGGAGCCAATCACTTTCGTTTTAAAGCTATTTAAACTTACCTTTTTCCCTTAGCTCGTTGCCCTATCGTGGTTTCTGTTTCAGTTCCCTTTAGCGCTTGTGGTGTTCAGTTGTGTTTTCTCGTATTGACTTTGGCTTCGTATTCTGACTTCGTTTTCGCTTTATCCTTATCTGTACTGTTTGCCGGCTTGCTGTTTTCCGTGTACCAGACCCCGGCTTGTCCTAGTTTACGCTGTCTCTCTGTGCCCTTGACCTCGGTTTGTTCCTGGCTCTGTCTCCTCTCATATACGTCGAGTACGTATCTCTCCTCTGTATTTGCCTCTGTTTAGCTGGATCCTGCGTGTAGGGGTATATTCTCGTTACAGCGAACCAGCAAAGGGAGTTGTTTGCTGGGCCAAATGGTATGTTTTTCTTGTCCAGGCTGCACGTCCGCGTGGAGCATTTGGGTGACGCGGGCCGAAAAAGGGAGCAGCGTAGGCTCCAGGAACAGGTAAGTTGGTGACAACATTCCCAGGGACTTTCAGCAGTAGACAGGGCTCAACATTGACACTCTGACTGGTCTGCGGTCAAAGGTTTCCTCTTTTCTGGGTGTTCCTTCAGCCTAATTCTTTATTAAAGGACCACTATAGTGCCAGGAAAACATACTCGTTTTCCTGGCACTGTAGTGCCCTGAGGGTGCCCCCACCCTCAGGGTCCCCCTCCCGCCGGGCTGGATGGCGAGGAAAGGGGTTAAACTTACCTTTATTCCAGCGCCGGGCAGGGAGCTCTCCTCCTCCTCCGATCCTCCTCTTCGGCTGAATGCACATGCGCTGCAGGACTAGCTGATTCAGCCGTTCATAGGAAAGCATTTACAATGCTTTTATGGACGCTTAGTGTGTTCTCACTCGATTTTCTACAGTGAGAAGCATAAAGTTTCTAGCGGCTGTCAATGAGACAGCCACTAGAGGATTTGGAGGCTGGATTAACCCATTTATAAACATAGCAGTTTCTCTGAAACTGCTATGTTTATAAAAAAAAGGGGTTAATCCTAGAGGGACCTGGCACCCAGACCACTTCATTAAGCTGAAGTGGTCTGGGTGCCTAGAGTGGTCCTTTAAAATAGAAAACGTTTATGTCACTTTATTTACTATCAAGAGATGAACTAATAATATTGGGATGCAGTAATGGTTCAACAGGAAAATTAATTTCCCTCATACACAACAATATACAGAGAATGGGGTTTATGCTTATTAAAAGTGTTGCTGAATATTTTTTCCTTAAAATTAAATTAAAAGTGTGCAGGTCAGGTGTGAAAAGATTTCAAAATGATTCATTTTCAGGAGGAGATCTTTAATTCAGTTTTATATATGATTTAAATGTTGATATTGCCTGTAGCTAAATAGAAACCTCTTCTTAGACCAACCACGTCTCTTAACATTATTTACAGCAAAAAAGATTAATTGTCAATATCTTTAGATTATTATAAAATTGAAATTTCATCCTTAAAACTCCTTTTAGGGTGACTTTTACTTTTTTCATTATTGTTTCTTTTCAATCTGTTTCATGCTTGATGTTTACCTAACTACTGCTTATTTCATAACCCAACTGTGCTTAGGTTTGTCTTTTAAAGTAAACTCTTTGTTTGAAAAGCCAAAGGAAGAATTTTCTTTGTGAGTGTCTACATTAGTAATATTTTCCTTTACTGGTGTCTGCTATGCTCATAAAAATAAATTGATACTCTTCTTTTGAAGTATCTGCACTAAAGTAACATGGCTATTGAATGTATTGTAAAACCAGAAGACACGGATAGTATTGGATGGCTCAAATAGACTCTCTCTCTAAATAAATGTCTACATATGTAATATAACAGATTAAATTAGTATCTTGTAACACCTTTTTTATTGGTATAGTAGAATTTAGGAGTGACAAGCTTTCATAAGAACCTTCCTTTCTCAAGTCTAAAGCTTTTCTGAACAAAAACAACACACATATATATATATATATATATATATACACAAAAGGAATAGTAAACCCCTGCACTCCAAACAAAGAAAAAAATCTCTACCTGGTGCTCTGGTAGCTTAAATGTAGACAATAGTAGTAGACCGGCACTCAAGGAATTTGATCAAAATCTTTACTGTTCAAAGAAGAATCGACGTTTCAGCTCCTCTAGAAAGCTTTCATCAGGACATATGAAATGTCCTGATGAAATGTCCTGATGAAAGCTTCCTAGAGGAACTGAAACGTCGATTCTTCTTTGAACAGTAAAGATTTTGATCAAATTCCTCGAGTGCCGGTCTACTACTATTGTCTATATATATATATATATAAAACAAGAGGGGGTTGGCTGCAAAATAAATATATATATTTATTTGTGTTTGAAGAATAAGGGTGCACTACACCCTTAGAGTCTATAGGGATCAAAGATGAAACGTCCATCTCTTTTTTAAATGGATTTAGTATTGGATTTTACTAAAGATCGAGAGTGCAGCCATTTTACTACAAAACATTGGATAATTTGGAGCCCTGGCAATTTATACAGCCTGAGTGCAGGGATCCACACACACACACATATATATATAAATATGTGTGTGCTGCTAACCAAGGTCTAACAAACATAAGATAAGCAAGAAAACAATAAACTAATGTTGAACTTTTACAGAGATCTGCCACAATATTAACACCACTGACAGGTGCAGTGAATAACATTAATTATATTGTTACAGTGGTACCTGTTAAGGGGTGGGATATATATATATATTACTGTCCCAGGGTAACTAGGCAAACCATTTGCCAATGGTTTGAAAACTTTCCCAGGTTCCACCAGACGTCAGAAGCACTCACTGCAATACGTTTGCCCAGCACTGCAGTTTTTAGGATCATCCAGTGGACTCCAGGTAGATAGTCATACAGTTTGACTACTTAGAGGAGAAAGCCTACAGTGCACTGTAGCGATTATGGCACTTGGACTGTTCCTTTAAATCATAGAATTACTGAAGTTACTTTTGACCCTCCAGAAAAGATCTGATAAAAATTGGACAAAACATTTGTATTACACTCAAAACGATATAATAATTATCCCATAGTGTAGGAAATGCAAAGTTTGTATAGGGATATTCACTAAAGTGCAAATTGTTGGGAATTCAAAGCGAATTTCAAATTGTAGGTCAAACGTGTTTAATTAGAAAAATTCTCCAGAGTCAGCTTTACTTTTTGATTAACAATATCAATCAGGATGTGTGATAAATACACTTAATGTTTCATCCTTGAATACTTTGTAAATATACATATTTTTCCCTCCCACACACATCTTTGGAGGGCCTATTATTTAATTAGAGCTGTGGAATGAAAATATATTTGGAAGATACGGTAAATAGCCCTACTTCTGCAGTGTATTGTTTAATCCTTACTGTCCTTTAATCATTCTTTAGTCCCTGCAGAATGATCTAACCTACACTGACATTATTATTAGTCCATGCAGAATGATCTAACCTACACTAACATTATTATTTATGAATATTTCATGACGCCTAGTATTCCACAAATACAAATAAAACATAATTAAAGTGTGCATCTACTAAGGCTTAGAAAACAATGTTCCCCTCAATCCTGAAGCTTCCTCTAGTCTTTACAGTGGAAATTATTTTACAAACATCCATGTAACCCTGTTTTAATTAATTCTTGTGACCTTGTTATTACAGTTTTTTAAACTTCCAATGCTTGGACAACCCATATCCACCAAGATATCCATCCATTTTTTCCAAACAACTTGCAAAATAATTAATCAAAATATCTGTGTAATCAAGTGTTCTGAAATATGTCCAAGGAAAATGATCCCAGGTCTCTAAAACTGGAAGCAAAGCTCTCATGATCAATTAAATTTAAGGAACATACCTGGGAGCATCTGTATTTTCGAGAAGAAGAGACCTTCCTCTCTCTGTCATGGTATAAACACTAAGCAGGGCAAGTGTATCTCTTTGAACATCGGGATCCTTTGAGGAAAGCATCGTAAGGATTTGCTTGTTTACACTAGGTCGACTGATGAAGAAGGACTGGTTCTCTTCTGTATCCAACAACAAAAAGCATTTCTTGACAATCACATTTAAACCATTGCATTTCTTATTTTTATAATTACTCTGACAAAGCAACAATATAGAAAAACATAAATGAATAAAACATACTACAAAAAAAAACACAATAATGCATGCTGATATAAGTCAACTGTAGCTGAACATATATATCTGAATACAGAAACAATGCAGGTTTTGTTTTACCATTCCCATTGCAGACAGTCTTCCAGAGGGTAAGAACAGATAGACACAGATCTTTATGGATATCATCTTCTAATGCGGAGTGCAGACTCCTATTCAAAACACCAAGGAATGCATATAACTATTAGATTATAGGACACGTATAAACTTAATTTTTCTCGGAAATTAGTCTCCAATAAAATTAGTAGAGACTTAATTCAGATGAATTCATTCTATGGGTAACTCACAAAATACCATGTTTCCCAATACAAACAAGAGTTGTATACAAGTCAATGTATATTATATATATATATATTTGTTTTTTGGTACAACAGTGCACTAATATTTATATGAGCGTTCTGGCTCAAATCACAAAAGAGATAGAAAAATCCTTCAACCAGTATGGGCCAATTACTATGACATTCTAAACATGCATATGTTAATTTACCTTTTAAAAGTCATTAAAAAAAATGATAACGTGTTAATACTAAAAACTACAAACAACAAGTAAAGCTATTCATACCGGTTTATAACTTTGTTATTTCCAATTATATCAAATCCATTATTCATTCGGAATAACGTCTGCCCTGTACCTGGAAAAACAACATATTTTTATTTTATAATTTAGATAACATTTCCTCTTTGATGAATCCAGTGAAAGTGCATTAAAGCATATAACTGAGTTTACAATAGAAAGAAAGGAAAGGGAGGGGAGGGGAGACTAGAACATGTCTAGAAAGTACAATAGAAAGGATTTTTAAATAAGAATGTCTGTGAGTGCAAATTAAAGCAAGCTGGAGGAATATAGACTTGAAGAAAACAATTAGAAATGCATATTTAGGAGAAAATCTGAAATCTTCTTAGTGCAAAAGGTGCAATACATGCAGAAAATGTATAATTTATGACTATCACGGCCATTTTAGAAACCCATTACAGAACAGGTATATATTTATAGTCGTAAATGAAATCCTCAATAAATGTAGGCACACACAGCAATGTTTGTTAGTTTGTTTTTTTAATCCCTGAGCTAAAGTAAAAAAAAAAAAAAGACAAAACACGGAAAATACCTATGACTACTCGTATAAAGAATTAGTGTTTAAACTGCAATTTCCTACTAAGGGTACATTGCCTTTCATTTTTGTTCATCGTAGAAGTTTGGTTTGGATAAAACACTGTATATGCCTATTTTTTTTTTTTTTTGTAACTATTAACAAATATCTTGCAGCAGGGTGGACAGGAACTAGAGAAAGTTGACCAACGGCACCAAATTATAAGTTTTCTAGGGATAACTGAAATGTACTTTATGTATAATACAGAAATAAGTGACAAAATGCCACAAGATTATCCATTTTATGCAATTTTTTTTGTTTTCCAATTCTATTCTTTTCATCTGGAACTATTTGGAAAATAACAACTGAAAAGAAACACTCACAGTCCATGACTACTTCAATCAGTAGTTTGATGCCTCCAGAATAATAGAGCGGAATGTTATCTTCTCGAGAAAGTTTCTGGATTAGATGAGCTACAGTTAGCGCACTTTCCTTCCCAGCCTCACATTCCCTTAGAGCTTTTTGTTCCTGATTGTGTTTTCTCTCCTGGGAGTCAACCTTATCCAGATAACCTGTATAAGAAGGCTCATTAATACAAGTAAAACAACGGGGACACGTATTGCATTGTTATCAGTTTGTTCTACGTGTCTTGTCTTTTATAAAGATACACGTTTAATATATTCAACATGTGTACAAAGACAATACAGGGTATTTACCTGAATGGGTCAAATGATTTAAAGTCCACGCAATATTGTTTAAAGGACCACTATAGGCACCCAGACCACTGCAGCTTAATGAAGTGGTCTGGGTGCCAGGTCCAGCTAGGTTTAACCCTTTTTGCTGCAAATATAGCAGTTTCAGAGAAACTGCTATGTTTTCAAATGAGTTAATCCAGCCTCTAGTGGCTGTCTCATTGTGATTTTCACAGTGAGAAGACGCCAGCGTCCATAGGAAAGCATTGATAATGCTTTCCTATGGACTGGCTGAATGCGCGTGCGGCTCTTGCCGCGCATGCGCATTCAGCCGGTGACGGAAGAAGAGGGAGGAGAGTCCCAGTGCCGAGGGAGCCCGGCGCTGGAAAAAAGGTAAGTGCCATGGGACTGGGACCCTGAGGGTGGGGGCACCCTCAAGGCACTATAGTGCCAGGAAAACGAGTATGTTTTCCTGGCACTATAGCGATCCTTTAAAAGTAAATACATGTGATCAAAAACATAGAAGAAAGAAAAGAAAATTACCAAAATGAATGCAAAACAACTTCCAAACTTCTGAAATGTAATTTCCAAAGAATACAATGCACAAATATTTAATTTCAACCCACTCTTACTGGACTACAATCCTCAGTTCTAGCCAAGTATGGCTGAAATTAGTTTTTTGCTGCCCACTAACAATCCAAGAAGCATCACTTAAAGGGTCACTAAAGTCATCCAGACAACTTCCTCTTAATGAAGTGGTCTGAGTGAAGTGACCCTGGCGTTTTAACTCTGCGACGTAAAATGCAACATAAAGGACAACGGGTTTGTAGAAACTGCAATACTTACATTGCAGGGTTAAACACACCTCTACAGGCTTTTTTAAGAGACAAGGAACAGGTTGCGCCTAGTAGTAATAAAGATATGCAGATTGCACTGTGCCTAACTAGATATAAATATATACAAGTATATGTGTTTGTGTGTATGTATATGTATATGTGTTCATGTATTTATGTGTATGCGTATACATGTATGTATTTGTATGTGTGTATGTAAAAAGTGTATATATACATGAATACATGTAATACATACATAGAAGCTCCTGGATCCCTACTGCTGCTTTTTCAAGCAGAATATATTCTTACTATGAATACATGTATGCATATGTGTAACGGCACCCCCAGGCATTAAGGGGTTAAACCGCCGTTTAGAGGATATTCCCCTTCCAGATACACAGGCAGCTACCAAAGACACCAATCCACCGAACCGGAAACCGAAACAGTCGAATAGGAAAAACCATACGAAAGGTTTACACTCCTAGCAGTTGAACTGGAACAGCATACAATAAATCCCCCCAAGAACAAGACAAGGCTCCGTGTTGAGGGTCAAAACACGAACAGACAGAGCTGTGGGTTTATTGTTCTTATATACACATTCTTACACATTAGTACCACCCACAGGATTTTGGAAAACACCCAATAAACACGTACAATACACTCAGACACTCCCACACAAAATCCTCCCCTCTGCCTGTGATAAAATTACCTTACACAATGGGTTAATGTAATTATCCTAGTCAGAGAAATACAGTTTTTCCACATTATTCATAACTTTAAAAGTATACATCACATTCACATTTTCAGAATCAGCATACTCCAAATACAAACATATGTCAAAATCATCCAAATTGGTCCATTGGTTCAAAAGATGGATCGAAGTCCTTTGTGACCAAATGAAGCATGTCTTTTCTGCCCAAAACCAGTCCCACAGAGTCTTCTATCCTGGAGATAATTGGGAAGTAATCCAATTATCTCCAAGGACAGAGGCAAAACTCAGTTGAACACATGGTAGCAAAATACAATAAAATACATAAAAATATATAACTGTGCAGCTATTGCATAAAACAGGTACATTCAACATATCCCCAGATAGCTTAGATCTGAGCGCATATTATTACTGAATGGCGCTCAGATCTCATACATACAGTTCAATTGCCAAGGAGCCAAAGTCTTTCACATAGTCTTTCGTTATATTATATGGGCTCCATGGCATAGCTATCTGGGGTATCACTATTCAAATAGGGCAAGTACCGAATGACCCGGCTTTCGTCTCTTCGCAGGGGAAAATCAAGCGTTTCAACATGGGGCCATAGACTAAAGGCAGCAGGCGGGCAACCAGGCTCCTGCCAATGCACAGTGGCGAGATTGGTCTCGTCACAATATGTGAATAGGTATGTGTTCATATACATATATATATATATATGGGACTATGTATGTGCAGGCACATTAGTATATGTTTAGGTACATGTATTGGTGCTTGTGTGTGGATGGATGTGTATGGATGTGTGTAGTATGTACATATATTTTGGCATTTGGTTGTATTTATATGTATAGTGTATGTACTTGTGTATAGCGTGTATGTTCTTGTGTATACTTGTACATATCCTCTACTTGTGTATATGTATATGTACATGACTGTGAATGTGTACGTGTGTCTGTGTATTAATACTCACCCCCTTCTAACACCATCTTCTGCACTGTTTGCTTGTTTTTTTCTCTCTCTCCCCCCTCACTCTTTGATCTACTCATAAGATATTTGTGACCCTCTCTGCAAGAATGGTGTATATTCTCTATCAAACCTGTCTTATCTGCACTCATGTCGCTTTAACCTATGTATCACAACTCAACTTTGAATTCTAGGTGTTGTCTTGCTCAGAAATGCTTCAGACTTGAGAAAGGTAAATTCTCCCGAAAGCTTGTCATTAAAAAATTCTGTTAGTCCAATAAAAAAGGTATTACAAGATACAAATTTTATCTGTTTTTTACATCTGTAAAGTAAATATATATAAAGTGGGGAAAAGTCCAGAAATATGGTAGATTTTGCCTTATTACAATAGTCCAGAATAGGTTCTTATGGGTAGAGACTTCTTGAGTGATGGACAATTTTCGGTGACAACCAGTTGTCCTTAAACGGTCACAATACAGAATGAGAATAAACACAGACTAGGCCTCAGATAGTGTAATGTTTCCATATTATTACTATTATTATTATTTAGTAAGCTCCAATAAATTCCACAGTGATAACAATAGATGTACTAATAGACATGTAATTGCAAAAAGACGAGCTGGACGCAGAGGAACAGAGCGTGTCGAAGGACCTTTTCAAATGAGCTTACATTCTAGAGTGAGTGGGATAAAGTGACACAAGAGATAAAGGTATAATGTATTTCATGTACATGAAAAAAAGTAAATTACTGGAATAGTTTATAGTGAAGGGTAAGTTTACTGGATGACCAACAGCATGTAGCGATATTTTCCTTGCTAAGGAACTGGCGGTAGTATATACATGCGGAGCATGCAACATGAGTAGGTAAGATCCCGACCATAGACTGATGGAACATCTCATAAGTAATATGTGAGCATAAACACATAGAATAGATGCAAAAAGCATAGAATTTTTATACCAGGTGGTCTACGTGGTAAGAGTCAAAGATATTTTAAAAAGCCTTCTAGGCGAAACGCGATGTAAAGAAGCAGAAATGTAGGTCTTACTTCTTTACTTTCTTCTCCTATTTGTTTGCATGTTAATTGTGGGGGAGCTGAATCTAGAGACTAGGACACTATAGTGTTAGGAAAACACATTTGTATTCTTAATGCTTTTTTGTTCTGTTCTATGTCTTGGCATTGCATTATAGATTTAATATTATCCAATATAAGTTTCTGGCACGAAAAAAGTCTTAGCATTTTCTAACTGCAGGAAGAAAGGATTTATTCAGTTTCAGTTTGGCTTTAATTCTCATAGCTGTGAAACTGACCTTATTTCTGTCTCCTTGGGATATTGAGCTGACCAAGTTTTCACTAGCTCACACAGAGCTCTGGACAATATGTAATAGCCTTAGGGAAAGTGTTGTGTGTACTGGAGAAGTAAATCTCTAAGGCATATCTCAAAATAATAACGTCAAAATGCATTAAGAGCTTTATTAAAAAGGGAGGCAGACTACATGAAATATAATGTTATATGGAAAAGAAAAATAGATATTCAGGCGCCTGCATGCATATTTCTTTTTAATCTTACTTTTGTGTAATTTGTTTATGCCTTTTTTTTGGCAATTTCAAACTGTATAAAAAAAATTTGCAACAGGTTTAAATCACCCACATATGGCGATGTTCAGTTCTGCAAAGTAATTTAAAGGGGGACTATCACTTATCTGGAATTTACATTACAATTTACATAACACAACAAAAATCACTTGCGGAAACCATTTTTTATGATTATATCATAATTCATTTGAAGTAAGTCAAAGGCACAACACACATTGTAAATGAGCAGTAGAAACAGAAACATTGCTTCATTTCTTGTCTTCTCTGTATGCTTTATTAGTACGAAATGCTTGTTGCGAAGGACAGAGCTTAACAATGATTGACAGCACCCAGTTGCAGGATAATGAGGTGCCAATTTCTACATTTGTTTTTTATTTTTCAAAAGCCTCACAAATAGATGTTTGTTATATATAGGAATAACTAAACATAATATTGAAATCAAAATATTTTTACAGCACTCTTGTAAGTGGCAGATCAGATGTTTTTGTTCTTGTCCAGAATGGCTTTTTTTAAACCTCTTTTGCCTATAATATGGAATTAAAGCAGCTCTGTCTGACTGTGGAACATTTAGAACAGGAGTAGGCAACCGTTTGCACTCCAACTGTTGTGGATCACATTTTTTACAGCTTTGCCAGCTGTAAGGTGTGGGTGTGGTCCACAACACCTGGAGAGCTAAAGGTTGCCTCATCTAGAACTCAGCAGTCATTACAATGACAAAATGAATCTATTAATTTTCAATGACAAGCCACATTACTGAGTACTACAAGTACATGACCACCATTACATTACATGCAGTTAAAATATGCAGGTGCAATGACTTAAGTCACATGTATGTATGAAAAGCATGGATATAGAGATTTATTAACTATGCAGGGAATTGTAGGGAACTGACAAGGGAAATGCAAGTTGTAGTTTAATACAGCCAGGGCCGTCTTTAACGCGGGGCAAACTGGGCAACTGCCCCAGGGCCGTTCAGTTGCCCCTGCCTGCAATCATTTATTTTTGCCAATCCTAAAAGAAATTATCGCGGGCAGTGGGCCCTCAGGCTAGAGAGGCCATCGAGTGGCTCATAAAATTAGGGCCACCCAACGGCATTGTGTCCTCAGGGGCCCGGTCAGCGCTGTGGTCTTTTAATAGCACGACTGGGCCCCTATAATGATCTCAGCCAAACTCAGGCTAGATCTTTTATATTTCTTCCACTAGGAAGCCTCATGATCTTATACATATACACTACTATTCCAAGTCCCCTTGCACTATTGCTCTGTGTATATATTTGCGTCAAATACTTGGGGATCACCTAGCTCATTGACATTATTGGTCATTTATCCATGGGGAATGTGGTTACAGGATGTGAGCATCTTGTACACTATCTCCTCAAACCTTCAACACGTTTGTGGAATGATAAGGAAGGTCAAACTTGCAGTATTTCCTGATTAGTATGTGGCTCTAGGAATCCCTGTCTAATTTTTAATAGCTGTGTCTGTGTGGCCTCCTTAGATACTTTACATGAGCATGATACCTGGAGTACAGTGGGTGATTTCCAGTTTCCTTTGCTAACATTGATCTATTGATCTGCAAAATCCTTTTTTTAATTTAAGATTTTTTTGTGGAAAGGAAAGAAAAGGATTGACCACTGATTATTTCTAAGTGATGTCTTCCGCTGCAGTTACGAAGCACTAAAAGATTTATTATAAAAAATAAGTCCTTTCTGCATGTTAAAACCTTCAATACAATTCATCCTAGCAACTATTAAAGCGTCGAACGCATGGGATTCAATCAGACAACAACAATAAAATCTTTTTGGTCACCAGTTAAAGAAAAAAAAAGTAGTATTCTGAACATATGTTGACATTTTGACTTGTGTTATCTAATTTGATTAAGAATGCCTGAGATTATGATATTTATTTTCTTTTTTTAATCAAAATCTGATTATTTTACCTTTCACCAGCTTTTCCTGACTGGGGTCTATCTCGGTGACCTTCAAATAGAATATTCTAGCCTGTTGAAATAAAATGACATATTATCAGATGAGCTAATGGAAAAATATCAGTATACACTATACTGAAATGGAGAGGGCTTTTAGAGAATGAATACGCCTGCCACATTTTTACTTGTCTGAATAATCATACTATCCTTCCTATGGGACCAAAACTGAAGTAAAAACCACTAAAAATAAAATAGATACATTTCTAAGATATGTTAAGCAATAAAAAAAAATGCAATAATGATACAATAAAAATCATTTAAAAGAGTACTTCTGTAAACACGCTACTGGAGATTTAGCACAATTTACAAAATGTTTTGTAACAAAGTGTATGCAGTGCCATTGCTGAAAGGCTATATAGTGTTATTGTCTTCTCATGACGATGCTCATGGCTTGTTTTTGTTATTTTAATTACTAGAATTTTATTCCGAGAAGATGTATAAGGCTTTAATCACAGCTTGTGTGTATAGGTGGGTATATATTCTCAATAATATCAATCATTATTATTATTTTTTTTATTAAAGCACATTGAACATCATGCCAGATGAAGCTATTTGATTGTGTTTTTAGTGTACCTGCCCTTCATTATTGAATTTCTTTGACTACCTTTACCCCAGTAATACTGTATATCTCAATAAAAATTGCTGGGTTTTTGGTAAGAGTGATAGTTTGTTGTATTGTAGTTTAACAGTTTTTTTTCTGGTGGTTCTGTTCATTACAGGTGGGGGTTCTTATTTCCAGATCCTTTTTGGCTATGCTAAATTGGTCCCATCCAAGCTCACTGTAAACCTCACTGTTACACTAGCTGACTTCCTATGTCCCAACACAGTTGCTGCCAATCTGCTTCCCATACTTTCTAGTACAGATGTAGGCAACCTTCGCCACTTCAGATGATGTGGACTGCATCTTCCTCAATGCTTTGTCAGCATTGTGGCTGTAAGAGCATTATAGGAGATGTAGTCCACAACACCAGGAGTGCCGAAGATTGACTGCCCTAGTCTGTTAACTGCATGAGTAATGAAAAATTATGGGATTTACAGTCCACAACATCTTGAAGGCATGTACCCCAACCCCTAAATCTACCTTAATAACCTTGTTACCTTAACCAAAAACACCAGTTAATCCTAAATCTACTACTACTTCCTGCCCCCTACCCCCTACTTCTCCTAATGCTACAGACCCTTAAACCAACCTACCTCCAACTGAACCTTACCATAATCTCTCCCTTTTCAGTGTTGTTCTAAATGATTCCATTGTTACTAGCAGGATAATTACTGCTAAGCTATAAGCAAGACTGTCATGTACAACGTGACCTTTCAACAGTGAGTTTTTAAATGTATACAGGGCACTACACAACATTAAAATTAAGTTGTTTTTTATTGCATTTTTTTTATTGCAGTTTGAGAAGTACAAGCAGTTAAATAGAGATTATAACCTTTAAATTAAAACAATTTCACAGTACATTGGGCTGCAAGGGTCTGGGGAAAATAACTCAATTTAAAGATGCTATTAAGTCATTTTCTTGGTCTTTTGCAGTCCACTGGACAGAACAGTGTTGTGAAAATGAATTTAAATGTCCTTATTCATATTAAGCGGTGCATGCCGCCCAAACAATGTAAAATTGAACCCTGAATTTGAAAGATCAACAAGCAATAAAAGCATTCTGTGTATTTATTAGAAATAATAAGTAATATGGCTTACTTTGAAGATAAACTCATCAAAACTGCTGATGTTTACACATTTTTCATTAAAGGAACACTCCAGGCACCATAACCATTACTTCATGCTGCAGTGGTTATGGTGTCAGGAGTGCCCTGGCATCCCCCACCCCACACCTTTGTGAGTATTCAGCAAGTAGTAGTACTAGTAAGTAAGTCATCTCACCTGGGATACACTGGGTTCTTCTACCCACCTGCAAGACAAATGCCGGAGATCCAGAAGATCTCAGCCAGTGATTGTTCTAAACCAACCAACAACTATAGAGAGCAGTAGTGGTTATGGTGTTTGAGTATTCCTTTAAGAAATCCTATATATATATTAATTCTGTATATATATATATATATATATATATATATATATATAAAATTAATAAAAAAATATAGCTGCGCTCACGGACTTCTGAACTGTAGATTCTTTATTGCTTCATGTTAGAAAGATTCCAAATACTGTGTGGAAAACGGTTTAGTTGACCATTAATGGTCCAGAGGAAAGTCCTGAGCAGGGACTGAAGCATCGACTAAACGACTTTTATTCATTCTGTAAATTGCAAGCCATAGACTAGTAAGGACTTTCTGATATATATATATATACACACACATATTAAAAACCAAAGAAAAGAAAAAGTTACCTGCACTCTCTCCTTAATCCCTATGTATATTTAGACAAATGGAGGTCATTTAGTTGCTCCAATGGCCATTGGAGGGAATGCCCGTCTTCCAACGTCAAGGCAGACCCCCATAAAGCGGGTCCTACACTGACCCTTCAGCCTGCTTCCTTGAGCTTCTGGCAAAGATATTTCTAATGAAACAGAGAGGGGTATTTTTTATATACACCCCTATATACTCATTAACTCCTAATAGGGAACTCATGGGATGGGCGGCAGCATTGTAACAAGGCTGTGTGATACAAAGTAAATACAAATACATAACGATAAGTCCTGCGCTCACTCCAATCATTACTGGGCCGGCAGCAATGACTACAGTACACATCAGCCCTAACCAAAAACCAAAGAAAAGAAAATGTTACCTGCGCTCTCTCCTTAAACCCTATGTATATATAGACAAATGGAGGTCATTTTTTTGTATTTGTATTTACTTTGTATCATACAGCCTTGTTACAATGCTGCCTCCCATCCCATGAGTTCCCTATTAAGGGTTAATAAGTATATAGGGGTGTATATAAAAAATACCCCTCTCTGTCTCATTAGAGATATCTTTTCCAGAAGCTCAAGGAAGCAGGCTGAAGGGTATTCCCTCCAACGGCCATTGGAGCAACTAAATGACCTCCATTTGTCTAAATATACATAGGGATTAAGGAGAGAGCGCAGGTAACTTTTTCTTTTCTTTGGTTTTTACTATATATTGGGTGTGATGTGTACTGTAGTCATTGCTGCCAGCTCAGTAGTGATGGGAGTGAGGCAGGACTTATGTTTTTGTATATATATATATATATATATATATATATATATATATATATATATTAAAGATCTAACGTACATTCAAAGTAGTGTATCTACTTACTGAGGGGCTGCTGAAAGAATATAGAAGATTAAAACTTAAACACAAACTGCGGACATTTTTTCAAATGCCTACTATATTTTGCAGTACAACCCAATGCTATTAAATGGGAAGAGTTAAGATACCGTTAATGTAGCTAAGCCAGTACTTACCTTTTTGTAGTCTTTCAGTCCCAGATAAGCTCTCCCCATATGTACAAAGGCCTTAATGCACTTTTCATGGCACTGCAATAGTATAAAATAAAAATGCTGACTAGTTAGTATAATGTAAAGTTCAAGAAATACGTATAAAGGCTAATATCTATCCAGTTATAACAATGTGCCGTTCAGGCCATTTAGAGATCTAGGCTGATATATGCCTAATGTTGTATATGAATTGTACAAACATTAGGATGATAGACTTGGACTATTACCCTCAAGTCTATGACATACAGATGCAGGCCTATGACCTGACCTAGTGCAGAAGGGATGCCATGCATCATTTTTGGTACATCAACATGACCCGAACCCTCCACATGCTAGACATCCCCGATGTAAGAGTAGGCTGAACAGATGGTATTGAGTGTTATTGAGCAGCACTGCCATATATTAGTCAGCTCCTTAGTTAACCACTTTTTTTTATTATGTTGCATTTATTTAATTAGAGAGCTGCACTGACCTGCCTATGATAGTGGGTGACTCCTGGCTGTACATCTATATTTTACTTAGGTCTTGTCTCTCTTTCTCATTCTCTTGTGGTTCACTCATTACTATTTGCTTGCACAGTTTCCCTCATTTGCAACTAACTGTATCTCTTGTCAACTGATTATACTGCCAGCCTGTTTTTTCTGTGGTACTATCCCTCATGCTGGCACTGTGCCTATCTTGTTTAACACTGCACTTAGTATTTGTATACTCCCAGCTCACTTACTAAGGGGTTGGTGGTTACTTTTTGGCCAATACAACACTATTAGTTAATTGTCGATGACACTGTGCAGATGTTCTATGCATGTTACCCTATCATTTAACATAAAACGAGCCTTAAAACCTTCTTGTGACTATTGCAGCTTTGCATCACCCAACTACTAAGTGCTGTACCAGCTGTTTTACTGAATGCAATGGCCTACCGAATATATCCATGCTGTATCATACTCTTTATGTAAAAATAAAAAAAAACATTTGTCGGTTATGCTTATGCCTCAATTAAAAAGAGATGATTGGCAAAAAAACAACAAAACATGTATTTGTTAGGTATGAACAATAAAATTAATTGTACAAACATACATCTCTTTTTTGGCTCCCTGTTTCGTGTCAATCATGGTTATTAGCTCTGCCCTTTGCACTTGGCATTCTGCATAGAGAATTCATACAGAGAGGAGAAACAAATTAAACAATATTGTTTATATTTCTTCTTTTTAGGGATGTGCGTGATCCAAAAATTTGGTTCGGAAATTCGAGTAAGAAAAAAAATGTGTCCCGTCAGCAATTCGGGACTACGGCACTTCAGAAATTCAGGACTTTGGCAATTCGGAAAATCTGTAGGACTTCCTAACCCTATCCCTACCCTACCCTAACCCTACTTTAACCTTAACCCTACCTTAACCCTACCCTACCCAACACCAACCCAACCCTAACCATACTGCTACCCCTAACCCTAACTTAACCCTACCCTAACCCAACCCTACTCTAACTCTAACTCAACCCTACCCTAACCCTGTCATCATTCACATAATTATCCCTCCCTCTTTTTTTTGCCACTTTTCAGAAATCCAAAGCAATTCGGCACTTCGGCCATTCGGTTCGGTTCAGCACATCCGAAATTAGGTTCGGCACTTCCGAAATTCGGGACTTCAGCAATTTGGCAGTTTGGTCATTCGGAAGCATCAGAATGTCCGAATTGCCCGAAATTTGTCCGAATTCACATTCGGACTGAAACAAATTGCGCGTCTACTTCTTTTCATTTGTAATTTTTGTACTGGCTTTGCCTTGTACTATGAACTGGATTATAAAGTAATTTGCTAAAGCTTTAATATAAATTTAAAAGTAAATGGAAAAATAAGTTTAACGTGAGTTATGGGTAATTTTCAATGTTTTATTCAATGTTGTAGATTCTAGAGGTGACAGTTCTCCCTTTAACACATTTATTTAAATAACAATGTAATAACAATATAATTAAATTAACTAACAAACATAGGTATGAGCATTGGAGACATTTGAGTAAAGTTTATAATAAGATTAAATTTAGTTTGACTGACATAAGCAAATGCACACAATAAGTGTCAAAATTAAGGTGACATCCCCAAAAGCAAAGATAACCTTTGGAGAAATACAAGCACTAAAGTCATAAGATGATAAATTGTTGTTTTTACATGGATAAAATGTAGCATTTATGACTTCTGTGAAAATTTAATCCTCACCTTCCTTATTTGTACATTTATGCCCAGGAATTTTCATTAACCACATTTATGCTATTATAAATTGAAAGAGATCTCGGGAAACCATTTCAACATTATTATTAAACCCTCATTTTACATTTATATTGACTGTGAGGAACAATGGGTTACTTGCACGTTATTCAATTAACTTTCTACTGATACTCATGATATATGAAAAATTCAAAAAAATTCAAAAAAATTAAAGCATTAATGTGTAAAATAGACAATGCTACTGTTTGTTGGCAGATTGGCCTGTGTGTTAAGACATGCGTCCTTCCTATGACTGTCAGTGAAAGGCAGCTATCATAGCTGGCTCCTCTACAGTGGTTTTAATGGACGGCTTGGACCAATGGTGATTTTTCATTGGTCCACCATCCATCTGTGCTCAATGCCTCAAACAGTATAGAGGGGCAGAGCAGCCTCCCCTCTGCACAACCTGTAAGAAGGGATACAACACACTGTTACTATTTTAACAGGAGCGTGCTTGGTCCATTTGTAGTAAACTTGCCAAACAATGGCATTATATACCCATAACACACATTTTGTCATGATGTTTCTACTCAAATAAAGAATTATTATTTACTTAAAAATATTACATTCCAACATCACCTGGAATGTCTGAGATTGTATTTTGCTACTATTTTATGCAAACACAGATAGATAGATATATATATATATATATATATATACATACATACACACACACATACACACACACACAATTGAAGAAGCTACTACAATTATTTTTTTTTTACAGGATTTGAAGTGTTATAATTTGGTGTATATCGTCTTTTCTCAATAATATTCAAAACACATAATCAAATATCTGCTAATTTCTATTTATGTTTATGTCAAATAATAGTAGCAAAACCTTTACATTTTACATATAGATGATAAAACATTTTCCTCAATAATGGTAGGTATACACAAGTCCTTTTTTAATGCTAACATATAGACTAAATTATTTGTTAGGTAATAGAAAGAAAAAAAAAAATACTCCACATCCACTTTGTAGATCTCTGCACATAAATATATATTGATAAACTGATAACAAAAGAGTTAAAAAAAAACATCTATCCAATAGTACTCATAAACCTTAAATAAACATTAAAAAAATGTTACTCACAAAACCTGCAAACACATACTACAACAGGAATTTATAGACCCGTGGAGAATCTTCCACCCCACAGAAAGGGATTACACATTCTACTGGCATATCCACAACACCTACACTAGGATTGACAGGTTTCTTACTCCCTCTGCAAACATACACAAAATACACGAAACCAGAATAGGACTACTCTCCTAGTCGGATCACCCCCCGGTAATATTGTCCCTACACAAACACTTCACAAATGCTGGCAAAGACACATGGAAAATAAACATCATGTTACTCAGAAACCCTGACATAACATCAGAGATTGTTAAGGAACTTACCAAATATTTCAACCTCGACAATACACCCGACACGAGCATAGAAAATATTTAGCAGGCACACAATGCGGTAATTCAAGGCCTGTTCATCAAACATGCGAGCTACGCCAAAAAACTAAGAGCTCAACAATACACTACATTAATTCAGGAATTAACAAATTTGACGCATAAGAACAAGACGGCACCCAATGACGCGCTAAAAATGCGATTACTAGCATTACAAGCCAAACTTAGGGACATGGAATTAGAAAAAACAATGTACCTCCTTGGACAATATAAACATCATTTCTTTGCACAGGGAAATAGAGCAAGAGTACCTCTGGCATCACAACTTAAGACACGCATGAGAAATGACAAAATCACATATCTATGCACAAAAACAGGTGGTAAGATCTTAAACCCACAAGAGATAGTCAATCAATTTGCACCTTATTATAGGGAAATCTACAATTTGACGACCAACACATCACGCCGTATAGCAATCACTCCATACAAACTTTCCTCTCGGACATAAAACTGCCCAAACTCAACCAGACAGACAGACTCCATATCTCAACCCTTCGACACTCTTGAAATAATGCAAACAATTAAACATATGCCCAAACACAAAGCCCCGGGGACGGATGGCTTCACCAACCTATACTATCAGACATACGTTGATGTTCTCGCACCTCACCTAACTACCTTGTTCAATATATGCTTCAATAAAGGAAAACTCCAGAGTGATATGCGTGGAGCTCATATCCCCACCCTACCAAAGCCGGGTAAACCTCCTACCCAATGTCAAAATTTCTGACCCATCTCTTTGCGAAATAATGATGTTAAACTCTATGCTAAAATCCTGGCTAACCGTCTGTCCACTCTTCTCCCAAAACGCACTCATAATGACCAATCTGGATTTGTGAAAAGCAGGCAAGGTTTGAACAACACCAGAAAAATAGTTAATATCTTATCACACATTATCTCAGGAAACAGCGAGGGTCTTCTCCTAGCACTTGATGTGGAGAAGGCCTTTACTAGATTAAATTGGAAATACATTGAACAAGTGCTACTGTCCTTTGACTTCCCCCCATCTTTTATTGCCGGCACCATGGGCCTGTGCAATGACCCATCTGACCCAGTTGCCAACGCAGGATTCTTGTCTATACCATTCACCATAACCAACAGCACCAGACAGAGCTGTCCACTATCACCTCTTCTGTTCATCTTATCACTAGAACCTTTAGCACACAAGATTAGATCACTAATTACAGGTATCACTATAGGGAACAAAGAATACAAACTCTCCTTATTAGCGGATGATATTCTGCTAACAATAAGTAACATTGAAACATCCTTACCGACGATATTAACCCTCTTGGAGACCTATGGATCTATCTCTTACTACAAATTAAATCAGGCTATAAAACAAGTACTTCCAATAGGTATCCAGGCACATACAATAAGTTCCCTAAAACACACCTATAACTTCGATTGGAGGGACAAACACATCCCGTATCTAGGGATCAATTTAGCACCTACTATGGATGAGATGTATGCATATAATTTCAAACCACTGCTCACGATCTGTAGGCAGGAACTTCTTAAATGTCAGTTAAGCTTTCGTGGCTAGGTAAAACAAACACAATTAAGATGGTACTACTCCCAAAGATCTCTTATGTATTCCGCATGCTACTAATTCGAGACTCTCTTTCCTTTTCTAAACACGTACAAACCTTGTTTTCCACCTTTTTGTGGGAATCTCGCAAACACAGACTTCCCATGCACCTCTTACAAAGAAACACCTCAGAGGGGGGGGACATGTCTTCCCAACATTGATGCATATTACAAAGCTGCACATTTAGTATCGACCATACGACTACATGCCCCCAACCAAAAGCACCAATGGGCAGACATGGAAAACGAGAGGGGCACGAGAGGTACAATCAAAAAAGCCCTGTGGACATCCAAAGCACTGCGCCCAACTACACAGCACTTTTTTCCAACCCTGCTATTGACAATACACCACTGGACTTATTTCAATGCACCCATGGCGCCCATCTCAAATTCCACCCATATACCCCACTCGCGGCTTTAAGAGCAATAAGCCGGTGGTTGACAATACACACCTGGAACAAAGTGCGTATCTCTTCTATTGAACACATAATAACCAATACAGGCGTTACAGTCTTCTCATAGCTACAAAAAGCCCATAAGCTACCAAACTATTTTATATTTCCTTATTATCAAATCAAAAATGTTCTACCGACACACGTAGACTCCAAAGTATTGTCAACCTGCTATAAAACCATAATTCTCAGATCCCATCGCAAACCACTTCCCTTCACAAATGAATAGGCCACAGAGACAAACAGCACAAGATCAGATGCGGAATGGATCTCCTCTATCAATCCCCTAAAGGGGGTCACAAACGCCACTCACATATGGAGGCACACAGAAAACTAATCTATAGATGGTATTTGACACCTAACAGATTCCACAAAATATTCCCGAATGTGCCAGGGGGCTATTGGAGATGTGGAGAGGGAGATGGGCACATGACACACATATGGGCGGGCTGTAAGATCCTACAACCATTATGGGATGTAGCGAATTAAATCCTTAAATTTGTCACAAATATTACCAGGCCTATCACCATAGACATGGGTCTATTCCTGTCCTTCCCCAAAGAACTCCCTAAGCGAACCCGTCAGACGATAGCCACTGCTATCCAAACAAAACATTGCTGCACGTTTACAGTTTGCACAAGAGCACCTGGATGTTCCACAGCAGTACTGGCAAAATATTCTGTGGACAGATGAAACCAAAGTTGAGTTGTTTGGAAGAAACACACAACACTATGTGTGGTGAAAAAAAAGGCACAGCACACCAACATCAAAACCTCATCCCAACTGTGAAGTATGGTGGTGGGGGCATCATGGTTTGGGGCTGCTTTGCTGCGTCAGGGCCTGGACAGATTGCTATCATCGAAGGAAAAATGAATTCCCAAGTTTATCAAGACATTTTGCAGGAGAACTTAAGGCCATCTGTCTACCAGCTGAAGCTCAACAGAAGATGGGTGTTGCAACAGGACAATGACCCAAAGCATAGAAGTAAATCAACAACAGAATGGCTTAAACAGAAGAAAATACGCCTTCTGAAGTGGCCCAGTCAGAGTCCTGACCTCAACCCGATTGAGATGCTGTGGCATGACCTCAAGAAAGCGATTCACACCAGACATCCCAAGAATATTGCTGAACTGAAACAGTTCTGTAAAGAGGAATGGTCAAGAATTACTCCTGACTGTTGTGCACGTCTGATCTGCAACTACAGGAAACGTTTGGTTGAAGTTATTGCTGCCAAAGGAGGTTCAACCAGTTATTAAATCCAAGGGTTCACATACTTTTTCCACCTGCACTGTGAATGTTTACATGGTGTGTTCAATAAAAACATGGCAACATTTCATTCTTTGTGTGTTATTAGTTTAAGCAGACTGTGATTGTCTATTGTTGTGACTTAGATGATGATCAGATCACATTTTATGACCAATTTGTGCAGAAATCCATATCATTCCAAAGGGTTCACATACCTTTTCTTGCAACTGTGTGTATATATGTGACACTATCCGTTTTAAATAAATGGTTCTTTGATTCAAATAGAAAAATGTTCCAGACCACAATGAGGTACACAATAGCACAAAAGACCACATTCAATATTTGTTTTAATAGCATCTTAAGTTAAACAGTAGCGACAACTTGACAAAAATTGACACAAATAAAAAACACAAAAAGAAAAAACAAATATCAAGCACTTAAAAGGATGCATTATTTAAATTTATAGTTATATTTTTCTATATTTGTAGTTGCAGACAAAAAGCCATAATTGATTGCAGTGATAGCAAGTCAGTTGGGGTGTGCCGAAACATACAAGTAAGTATGTAAGAAAAGGGCCAACTTATTTAAGGTAATATTACGAAAAGAAAATGGAGGACTTTTGGAAATCTAGAAAATGGGCTAGGAGGAGGGACCAGCATTAAATAGCCAGAAAACTATTCGTATTACTCCAGGCTGTGGCCTTTTCATTTGTAGTCAGGAACAAAAAGCCATGTTTGACAGCTTTGGTGTCAAGTTGGGTAGTGTCCTAACCAACGTACGGTTAAGCCTGTAATAAGAGGGCAACAGAACACTCTAGGCAGCATGACAATTTAATCTTCAACTTGGTACAAAATTTCTCACACAGTTTTCTGAATGGAAAGCTAGTGATAGGCCAATAGCATCAGAGGACACTCTCAGCCAATCACCAATGCCAAGTCCAAGCTTCGCCATTGAAGCCTTGAACTTGGCTGGAAGATATGGTGATGAGCTGACTGGCACTGTCTTCTGTCGGTCCAAAGCTATTAAGATTGCAGGGGTTCAACCATAAACAACTGATGACCCCACTCCAAAAACATATACACATGTATTTTTTTTATAATTAATATTTGCAGTAAAATATAAACTAAAAACTTTGTTAAAATTAGCATGGAGGAGTATGGGCATAATAAATCCAATCTCCATAATTTAGTGAATTTTCCTCCAAGAAAAAAAAACAAAAACAAACATAGAATTTTATGCACATCACACCCACGTGAGCTATACATACAATTAGACTACATGACGCAAGACTGCGTTTAAAAGTACATCTGAATGTCAATTTTAATAAAATATTCCATTAGAGCACTGACGTTTATCGAATACGCAGTGAAGTCAATGGAAGCACAATTCTGTATTCTGATAAACAACTTTTATCTACCTGTAAGTGAACTTTTCTATTTTTTTTTTCTATTCGAACACAAAGCTATAAAGTCAACACATTAAGGCAAATAGCAGCCGCAAATGTTAAACAAAGGAACAATAGAGTGTATAGATAAGTAATAACAGGTTGTTGATCTTGTGTCTCATCTTATGTGCATCACATCCTCCCGCACAATATTCCACTTGTCATTCATGCATTTCTTAAGCCTTTGGCACCAGAATAGCATTTATTCACCCAAACCCACTTGAAAGACATGAATACAGACTTTTTACGATTCCCATATGTGAGCTTCAGATTTGAATAAGCGTGATTTCACTAGCATAAATTTGTTCGGAACTGGGCCATAATTTCTCATTTCAAATAGGTCTCATAGACTGGATAATACAATAAAATGAGAAAGCCTTATATTATCTATTGAATTGTTTGAGATTTAGTTGAAAAATTATGACATATTTGTTCAAAAAGGAAAGAAAAAGCACAAGGGTTTTTTTTTTTTTTTTTTTTTTAGGGACTAGGAAATGGGGATTTTTAAAGATTCATATATTTTTTAGGGACTACGAATTCTTTTGGTTATAACACCCAACATGCAATTTAAAATTATGCAAGTATATTAAGAAAAAGTTACTTTTAAACTATAAATAAATAGTAAAATTCTCATTACTTGTCAATTTAAATAATCACAGGTTAAGGAACAGAGAACACACGAAAATACAGTTTTACATTTTACAAGGCTACTTCAAATCAAGTGAAAATTAAACAACTAAATTGATAGTCCTTTGATGTATAGACTAATTATAAATATGATATATTTGCTCTGTATCAAATGAAAGTTAGAACTAAAGTGACATTGCTTTCCCTGGCCCGCGCACCCAGCTTCAGATGCCCCTTTGCAGGTGACCACAGGAATGTATAAACTTGAGAAGGTTTTAGATCGCAATATCAATTTAATTATACTTTTTACTTGGTATAGAGCAGATATATCATATGCATTGTAAGTCTATGCGTCAAGGAACAATCATTTTAATTGGTTAGTTTTGAAACTGTCATTTTTTTCTTTAATTTTGTGTATTATCACATTAATTTTGCATTATATATATTCACAATTTTCTTACAACAGATTATTTAAATACACTATAGTTCATTTAGCACTAGCACTATATAATGTTTACGCCGTTGCAATTAGTGTAGGACACACCGATATTTGGTTACTGTGGCATAGAGATGGGCTTAACACAATATGGCCATATGGTGGAACAGACTACTCATATTAGTTTGCTGAGATAGGTGATTTAAAAAAAATAAAAATAAAAAATTGTGTGTGCGCTGTTCCTTAATCTGTATTTTGTATAAATGTTGGTCTCTAAGGCAGCACCACTGCTGAGAAATGCATGTTCCAAGTGTGTTCCCAATTGCCATTTTTTTACAATTTATAAAAATGATGGCAGGATACCACAGAAAATAAATACATTCACATCATATTCCCAGGAAGGAATTCAGGTTGAATGTAATTGTTAATAGTTGGTAAAAAAAAAATACACCAGGTAATGAGTAACAGTATGACAATTAATCCAACTCTATGTTGTGGACAATAAACCTGACACCATATTTTTTATGATTAATGTCCTATAGATAAATATAATAAATGAGTCTGAGTTGTAAATATATCTCACAATGCCATGAAAACCGAATCCTGATTACTTGCTTGTTTTGACTGTGCTTTACCACAGCTATTTTTCTGTACAGGCATTTAACCAAAACAATCATATACTTCATCCATAAGTAAACATCATTAAGCCTTTTGATATTGGAAATCATTTTACTTAAGACACAAATAGCTGCAAAAATAATACAAAATAATCATCTGGATCAGTTAGGGGTAATTTAGTGACTCAGATTTAGACTGCTAAAGCAGTACCCCCCCCTACCCCCCAAAAAAAACAAATGTAATTTTACAAAGATAAAATCTTTATTAAGTGCTCACAAAGACTTGTTGGAATTTTACTACAATTCCAATGCATATTAGTAGAAATTAAGTCCAGGCACTCAAGGTTTCTTCAAAGAGGCAGATTTATTGAAAACTGAATTCGCAAAATTTCGGCCTTCACAGAGCCCTTTGTCTAAACTAAATTAGATTTTGCCAACTCGGTCTTTGATGCACCTGGTTTTCACTGTGAGAGTATGGTAGTCTTTATGTTTGAATCAATACAATTCCAATACAGTCAAAAGATACCATAAGATTAGGGACTACTTTGTCTGATCTAGTTTTTCTATGCTTGACAAAAAAGCGTAGCTAGCTATCACTGTCAAGCATTGTCTTTAGAAAAGGACTTTGTCTATGGAGGATTCTGTAGTCTCAAACGAGTTTCCGTAGACATTAGTGTTATACTCTGCATGCCCCCTAAGACCAACCTACGGCAAGTAGAACATTCACCAATGGGTGTCACCACAGTTACAATTAAATTTTTTCATAAATGCCTGGATTACTTTATTTTACATGGAATCTGTAAATATTTTGACATTTTCTTGCATATAGTGAATTTGCACATTGAGAGCAAACCTACAAATAGGCATGTGATTTTACCATTAATAAAGAACTGAATTGCAATTTGAAGCCTCAGTCTGAGCCTACTCTTGATATTTGCAATGCAGAGCGAACTGTGAAGATTTGTGTATGCCTGCCATAGAAATATTACACACATAAACTATGAACTATACTATTGTGTGCACAAGGCATAGCAACCACATCAAGATCATATCAATTAGGGAAATAATACAAAAGCTATTAAAAACACTATTATGCCATAAATCATTGCATTATCTGTATAGTGCATTCACATATTTGTGGGTTTTTTTTCCCCACAATCTCTTTAATAACAAAGTAGGGATTTATATTATGTATTTTATCGTTATAATGTAAGCCAAATATAGCATTATTCAGATATTAATGTGTCCATTGCATTGATAACATTTATATGGAAAATGAAATTTGCACATACCTTTAAAGCCCATTCACAATCTTCTATAGCTTCGTGGTATTTTTCCAATTTTATATAAGCCTAAAAAAATAGACAACATTATGCAGCAGACCTTTTGAGAAAATATTAGACTCGTATAAAACCCGCAGTGTTACAGAATTTATAAGTTTAGAAGTAGATTATTTTTGGCAGTGAACATTTGCAATTTTACACAATTACACTTGAGATCCTTGCACAATCTGCGTCCCAGATATTTATCCACGTAATGTGGACAGAATGTGGTGGCTTCTGGCAAATGAAGACAGCTTAGGTCGCAATAAGGCAGCTCTGGACAGAGCCAGATAGACAAAGATATTTTTCCAGATTGTTTTGCAGTAATTGAACAGATTATGTTTCCAAAATAGCTACTTTCCTCCCTACAATGATAAATTTAGCGTTGTTGTGCATGTTAAGGAAATTAACATGTGCCCACTAATACTAAATTGTCCCTCTAATACTAACATTTTTACTCGCAATTTCCCATATGGCCAGGGGGGAATTCAGACTAGATACAGCATTTGGCAAGTGAACTACAAGTGCCCAATGTTCCTTTAGGCTGACTCTCTTCCTTGCCCGTGAGTATTTTCTAGCTGTCTCCTGATTTCTAGGAACCGAGACTAGATTTTTAACTTAGGCAATGTAGTTTCATAAGAGAAAAAAGTATACATAAAAAAAAGTCAATAATTTCTGTCCAATAAGTTGGCATATCACATTCTGCATCCCAGCCTGAGAGGATCAATAAATAATAATTTAGGCTATATTATAGCATGATACCAAGTAAAAATCCCAGAAGCTCAAAATAGCAGTTCTGTTAAATCAGAGATACAAATAACTCCTTCTGGGTCTGGTTTATTTGAATAAAGCAGGTCACAGCAAATATGTAATAGCATGTCACTCCTAATGTGTCCAATTTAGTAAATGTAGCTATGCTTCTTTCATGATCAATACAAACTCAACCCCGATGAAAGGTTCAAAAACATAGATCAGAAGGAATATTAAATGGGGGTATTTATCGCATACTATGAAATGGAGAAATCTGTTCAAATGCTGGAAATGAATATATACATAAGCACAGTAGATAGGGAGACAAATTTCAAACCAAGGAGCTTAACGCTACATCAGATCTAGGAAATCAAATACAATCTCTCTGCCTCGCTTAGTCCTTCAGTTAATACAATAGAAATGGATAAAAGCAAACAGCAATACATCAAGGGAAGCCAGATAAGCAAACTGCATGTGACAGCCGTAAGACATTAGGCAGTGTGCTACTTAAGTAAAAATACTGTTTAGTGTAATATATCCATCCATCAAGTCAGTGCAGACGTTGACTTGATAATCAATAAAATTACTTTAGTTACCTTCAGCAAAAACAATTCTTGATTAGACTTGGCATATCCACACAGATGGATGACATGAAAAGTGCATCATTTTATATCAGTACTGGCAAAGTATGTCTGCAGGTCCCAGATAGCGGTACTACGCTCCATTGGGTGGAGTAAAACGGAAAAAAGCAATTCAACAAAAGAACAAATGAAGAGACTGTGACAAACTCCCCTCTACAAGTTTGCCACGAGCTCCAGGAGGAGTCTGCATGCCAGCCCTTCAGGGAAACCTGTAAAAGACTACCAAACTTGACCGACTGTTAGCACTGATTTCCCTGGAACTGTTTTAGGTATAGGACCATGTGCACGATCGGTCAAAACTATGGGTGAATTTTTGATATGTTGTTCACCCAGATCAGGGCTATCAGGGGATGTGACTTATGGGGATATGTTGTGTTTTGGAGTACTTTTTGGGACTTTTTAGAAATGTGTGTTTTTTCTGCCTGGAGATAATTGAGTTGATACAGTAATTAACTCAATTATCTCCCAAGCAGAGGGGAGGGATTATTTGCCTTGTGTGGGAGTGCCTTACATTGTAAATGTGTTGTTATTGGTTTGGAAGTGTGTGTCCCTGTGCCCATCAAGGTCCACCTGGGTATCACCTTTGTTGGGAAACTTGCATAAAAGGCTAGTGTGCCTCATTTAAAATGCTATTCCAGCTTACACTCCAAAACTGTGTGTCGTCCTGCTATTGGAGGTAAATAAGATTTACTCCTGTGTCTGCTGTTCCAGCTTGCAGGGGATTCAACGGGGAAAGTCCTTGTAAGGACTAGAGCTAATTCCCCATTAGGCTCTAGGAAGGAGCTGTTCCAGGGCACCAGTTAAGCCATGGCGACTGTGGGCAGAAGTGCTGCGGTTTGTTCCCTTGTTCCTGCAACGCTCTCTGGACTAGGAGAGGTCTACTCACCAGAAGCTGGATCCTGGTCTTGGGTCCAGGGTGGGTGGAGGACGGCGAGACCCCAACCAAGCTGTGGTGGTTCGTGGGGTCTATAGTGGTTATGGTGTTTCAGTGCAGTGATTATGGTATGCACAAGTACTAGGAAGCAGCGATAGACGGAGGTACCCGGTCGGGGGGCCATGCAGTCCGTTAGAGCGACTCACAAAGTTCTCGTGGTATATAAGTATTAGTCCTTCAAGACCACAAATGTGTGTAGAAACCAACATTTTCTGTTATTTTAGGATAGGTACTGTCTGCACTTGGCTAGGTGTGCAACCTCAGGAGTACTCAAAAGGTGAAAATGGCATTTGATAGATACTAAGGACACAATATATCAGGAGGTAAAGCTGATTGATTGAATATTCAGCCCTTATCTAATATTGATCTACAAGTGTTTTGAAACATTCGTTTTAACAGTGTATGTGACCACTAGAGCTTTACAACTATGAGGTAACTTGAACATTGCAAAATGGGGCACCAAAGAGTTAGGAATGCAAATCTGTATTCCTAAAAGGTAGACAATCCTCCTTTCCAGTTAGTTTTTGCCCACCTCTACAGTATTTAAAAAAAAAAAAAAAAAAGAAAAAACACTTTACTTACATTTTTCCAGCACCAAGTCTCCATTGGCCCAGCTGCCCACTCCTCCCCATGTCATGTTATCCTTGAGGCGTGGCAGGATGACATGATTCTCTAAGGCAGGGCTACCCAACAGGTAGGTCCCCAGATGTTGTAGAACTACAACTCCCATGATGCTTTGCATGCCTTTAGAATGCATTTAGAATGACAAAGCAGCCTGGGAGTTGTAGATCTACAACATCTGGGGATCTACCTGTTGGACAGTCCTGCTCTAAGGCAAGCCATGATAGCACTGTGCATGCGTGCATGTTGTCACGGTATGCCTGGGTATAAGGGACAGGAACTTACATTCCAGAGGGCTTGTAGGTGTGGCTTGAAGCCATGCTTTCAAGCCTTCTAACTATTAAAATAACACATTTTGGCTGCAAATTAAAGGGGCGACTTCTATAAGCACTATGGCAACTTCTATTAGATTAGAAAGTTGTTATAATGTGTATAGTGTCCCTTTAATCACTCCATGATTCACAATGCTTCTGCATGAGGGCAGTCATCTGGATATCATATTAACATTTTTATATTCTCAGTGAGTTACTGCTCCACAAGCGATCCTGTGTAAGCAATATATCTTGAAAGTAATTTTCATTAAAATAGAAACTGCTGAACATATTTACATTTATGGTATAGGCATCTTTTAAAAATGATATGAACGTGCAATGAAAAATTCTATAACAGTGTATTTGTAACATTTAATTTAAATGAATTAACATTATAACTTGAATGAATATCTTCAGTTTTTCACAATTTATGGATTTTTGTCTTAGCTGTTGTACGGAAAATAGCTTTAATACCAATCTGGCGATCTTGGTTCCACTACAGGATCTCACCTGAGCGCGATTTGTATATAACACCTGCATGTCTCTGAGTTTTTCCAGTCCTTCAGTATAGCGCTGAACTGCAGTCTCATAGTCTCCTTTTGCAAATGCCTCATTCCCCAAATCTTTAAGTGCTTGAAGTAAAGGAGAATAATAATATGTATGCACATGTAATAATATGCAATTTCCTTCGCATTTTAAACAAACGTTTTTACACTATAACTGAAACCATTTAAAGTAAAATCACAATTACAACAATTCAATATAGTTGTCATAATTTTATCTTAACGGAAAATTGCCAGAAGAGGACTGTAATTATGACCAATGACGTTTTAGGTCATTAAGAAGTATAAAGGAGGTGCAGTATTTTAATAGGCTTTTAAGTTAATTCACAAACTGCAACGAATTTACAGTTTATGAAACATATATGAAATTGCTTGTTACAGATTATATTGCTGTAAGAAACCCAGATTTTTACGATGTTGTAGGCCGAAACAGGAGAAAATTAATTGCTTAATGTTTTCAGCCCATATGGATCTGGTTACGATTCCAAACCTGGTCATCGACCAGAGAATCAAGATGAGAATAATATAATGTAAGCCAAGTGCCAGCTTTTTATTAAAATAACCCAGGCAATAATAACTTTGAAAATGGAGGATTCCATGTTGTTACTGCCCTCGGCCTGTGAATGTATTGATATGTGGATATATCTATATGTGGATAAGCATGCACCTGTACGATGTGTGTAAGTGGATATGAATATCTAAATGTATACCTTTTTTTTTGTATGTAATATAATATGACTTAGGGTGTAGGCGTTGCACCCTCGTTGTCACAGGTGGCTCATTCCAAGGCCCTATTTAACTTTGTACTAAAGACAGCCCCAGAGGGAAGAATTTACCAAGTAAGTGGGTTAATCTCAATAGAGCAAGTCCTAGGAGAGGATGTATGATAAAATACTGTAACTAAACCCATTATTTCTGCTTAAACGAGTACATTCTGTGAGCTTTGAAGTTGCTGTTTAGTTAATGAGTGAGTGCACTGGATCTTAAGGTAACATTCGAGTATTCATCACACTACAGCCCTGTTATGTATATTTACAGGAAGTGTTTAGGGAGGCTGTGTAAGTCCCATGCAAGGAGGCGTGACTAGGGCTGTATAAACAAAGTGATTTAACTCCTAAATGGCAGAAAATTGAGCAGTAAGACTGCAGGGTCATGTCTTTAAGCTAAAGTTGTTTTGGTGACTATATGTCCCTTTACTATTGTGTTTTGGGGGTTAGAACTGGGTGGCCAGCACTGAAGACAATATAACAAATATGTATGTGGATAAATGATATGTTTAGTGTTTGTATATGCAATTTGCATTTAATCAATTATTATTGAAAAAAAACAAATGTTTCCAAGTAAATTCAATCTATCACACTCCTATTCATAAAGTATGGTCCTAGGCAATATGCTACATGCTCACTGCTTTAGCACTTTGATGACCTCACTTTCGCACCTTGCACATATCTTGTGTATCAATTCAAACAGATACTCACACACATAGTTAGCAAACAAAACAACCTTTCAGGAAACTTCACAACTTCAGTTTAACTCTTAACTTTGCCAGAAGTCCCATCTATTTCCCATATACGTGCATTTTATGTGGAAATAAATATACACGTGTGAACATGCATTTGCAATGTGAACAATGCCTGCATATGATGACAGCCGCTAGAGCCGTTAGAGGTGCTTCCGCGCTTCTCACAGTGATAATCACAGTGAGAAGATGCCGATGTCCATTGGAAAGCATTGAGAAATGCTTTCCTACGGACTGACTGAATGCGCGCGCGACTCTTACCGCTCATGCACATTCGGCGGATGACGTCGGAAGAGGGAGGAGAGTCTCCAGCACTGGAGAAAGGTAAGTGATTAACCCCTTCAGCCCGGCGGGGGGAGTGGGGGCATTAGGGTGGGGGGTACCTTTTAACACTATAGTGCCAGGAAAACGAGTTTGTTTTCCTGGCACAATAGTGGTCCTTTAACCACTGATTAAGATGTTAACTTCATTGTGAAGTGATGATAAAAAATTGTATCTATAAATTTACACAACATATCCTTCCTCATACAAACACACTCAAAGGTTACCTTTTGCAAGCGTTTGGTTCTCTTTGCGCTTTTCTGCCCGTTGTTTTGCATCTTGTTCAAGCTCTTGTAGGAAGTTATCTGAGGAACACAATAATAAGAAATCCAAATCTTTTTGCGCAGATGAAAAAATGCAACATGAGCTATCACGTGTCCTATCAGTCATGCATGTTCACGTGAGGTTACTAACTTAAAGAACCCCTATATTGGTGAAGACTGATTTAATTGTAACAAGGGGAAATACATATGCAATATACTACTTCTTAAAGCGGCTCCATAAGATGCCTGTGGTCCATATGGTGTGATGTGATAAATACCAAATAAACTTTAAGAGACCCTTGGAGCAGTGTAAGCAATGGCATAAGAGTTGCATAAGAGTTGCAGAGCTTATACTTATCTCACATGCCAAAATTAGTTTAGAACCCACCAACGATGCCATACTGAACCTTTCTGTTGAAATTAGCTCAATACGGCCATCTGTTATGACCAAATTGCTATATTTGATTATTGTGATAAGTGTTGGGTTGAGTATTTTTCTGCAGGCTTGAAAAATTTGACACTGTATATTTTATATAGGGCTGATTCTTTTTTTATTTTTATTTTTATTTTTTACATATTTTGCGTCAATTAAAGAGAAATGTGTGTTGGGCTAAAGTGCATATCTAGAAATAAATCCTACAAAATATTGTAATATTTATTTTTGATCCATTAGAAAGTTACAGTTGGCCTTCCTAACTCAACCAGAGAGTTACCAATACCAAATCTTGTAGCTAAAATTTCCTCCATCATTTTACTGAAATGCCCTGTTGTAAGGTGCGGTAATTTAAACGATGATTCGCTTTGTTTGTAGGAAAACTCATCACGAGGTATGGGTGAATATTTTTTGATGTTTGTGCAACACGTAAGTATACGCCATATTGGTTCCAATATATGTACAAATGCAGCACACATTCAAGGGAAAGTCATGGAGGAGTCTTCCCTCACTTTAAAAAGCTGAATTTTTATTTGGCATAAACCTTGGCACAACTGTTTTCAAGCCGACAAAAATGTATAACACACGTAAGTTTAAATTTTTACCTTTAAGATTAAATATATAAATCCCAGTGGACCCAGTGTTGAAAATGCAAATATGTCTTTATTGTCTATTATATAAAGTATACAAAACAAAATAATTACTTATTCACCTAGCATTATCTGTTTATTCGGAATCTGTAGATACATTTATCACATTAATAAGCTTAAGAAGTGCATAACATTACATTCGGCATGCAATTAATGTTAATTAAATGCTAATTTGTATTTTCTGCTGTTCTTACCTTGACTCATTTCCACCCTCTTGTTCACACAGTAACAGGAATATCCAAAGTAGCAAAAGTATAAAAATGAAAAAGGTTAGTTTAGTATAATGTCAACTAAGTAAAAGGCATACAACACCGTAACATTGAATGTTAATAACAAAGTAAACATCTTCATTTGTGTCCAGCTGTACACTTGATACAGCTTGTCCCATTTACTAAGGAACTCAGTAACTCTGAATGATTGAATCTTCTGGATTGTCTAAACCAGCGTTCCCAATTAGTGTTCTCAAAATTGGGGTTCCGCAGCGATTTGCCCAAGCATTTAGGGCCACCTAATGGGTATCGCTAAACAGGGATCCGGTCAGGTTTCGCGGTCATCTAAAACTGAGACCAGACCCCTGTAGTATTGGATGCTGGGAGGAAGTGACAGTACTTCCTCCCAGACAGAGCACGCCGCCTTGAGGTGGAGAAGGGGCAGCGGGGACTGAGCAGCACACCAACCTCAGCCAGCAGCACTGAAGATTCTCCTGCAGAAAAAAGGTAAGTAAACAGCACATTTAAACATATTTGTGTGTGTATGTGTCTGTGTGTGTACCTGTGTCAGTGTGTGTATCACCTAATGAGTGTGAATCTGTGTGTGTGTGTCCCAGTTTGTGTATGTGTGTCAAGGTGTGTGCATGTGGCACTGTGTGTGTATATATGTGTGTCAGTGTCTGTGGCAGTGTGTGTGTGTGTGTGTGTATGTGCTAATGTGTGAAGGTGTGTGTGTGTGTGTGTATCTGTGTGCCACTAAGTGCCAGTGTGTGTATCTGTGTGTCAGATACATACACACACAGATAAAATTTATTGGGAACCCCTGGTCTAAACCATTGAGACAATAAAAATTACAGCATACATTTTATCTTTTTTTCTCTGGATTTAAAATATAATTTTTAATTACATAAATCACATTTTTATCTTGCATTGGGCATCATGAGAGAGATACACTTTAGTGAGCTATTATAAGCATAAGTAGTGGAAGACTGCAAGCAATACTAATTATTGGGCATGTCATTGTATACAACAAAACATAAAAAAGGCATATCAAAAAGTAGGAAGCTTGGTTTGTGTGCTCAAAATACTTGCAGCAAACATTATGGCCAGGGTGTCCCTCAATTACTGCCTTGAATCATGAACACCAACTAGATAGTCAATGCATACGCAGAAGTGTGCTAATCACAAAAATATAAATGGTTCTCATGACACATCAGCCATTGCTTGTTCTGTATAAGTAGAAAAATATATTTTTATTCAAAGTGGTCAAAAACTGGATATACAGAGTTGCAAGCTCCCAAAAGTATTAAAACCACAGCAAACTATATGTTTCGTGTCGGCTGATACTTTATTAAGATCTTGATAAATTGTCAGTCGGCACAAAATACATTGATTGCGGAGGTGCTAATGTTTTTGGAAGCTTGCCACTGTATGTTGAGTTTTTTTGCCCACTTTGAGTAAAAATATTTTTCTGCTTTTACGGAACATGTGAGCAAATGTAAGCAAAAATATAAAGGAAAATAAAATGCCTGTTAAATCCGTGGATTGCAGTAATAGCTGCTTCACGGCGGAAATAAATCACAATTGTAAAGAATTTTGAGTGTGTCCAGGGTGGAAAATCACAACAAATGGAGCAAGCATTGCTTTTTATAGTGTCTTAATCTGCTGTTCTGGAACACTTGGAAGTGGATTGATCACAGGTATTTAGAAATCTGTAACCATTAGACTTTGGGGTTTATTCATTAAACAACACATTCTGGTAAACCAACAGTTAATTGGCAACATTTAGCTGAAAATAGCCTAGAGGGTAAAATTCTGCATTCAAGCTGTTTTGGAGTACATTTTGTAACTGAAACATAAATTCCCCTAAACACATTCAGTGTTTAGAGTTTAAACCAAATTATGTTATACGAGTCATTAAATCACAACACCTCCAGACAGATGATGGTCTGATAAAGTTCCTATGTGTCTTTTTTTTTAAATGGTATGTTATTGAGAAATTTAAGTTTAGGGTTACAAAAAAGAAAATGCGAAATTAGGAGAAACATAAGGTCCAAAACATAAAAAAATTAAAATGCAATTCAAAGTATGTTGGCATCTATAAATACACATCTTACATAGACCATATGGCACTTTCGGTATAAATCCATGCACTACATTACAACGTGCAGCATCACTTATAAATAAATATTTATTGCAATATTGTTCATAATGGTAACGACGTATTCACTGCGGTATGGTAGTTAGTGACATGAATATAGTATAAGAAAGGCATAAAACATAGAAAATGAACGACTCGTCCTCTCTGCAAAAAAACTGCTCTGCAATGTTGTATTAGGTGTCAGGAGTTCCCCTCTTGATGTGTGTTAATTAATACCTTGATTAATCTGACATACCATAGTGGGAGCTGTACCATCCTTCCAAATGTGTAAAGTCGCTTGTTTTGCACAGAAAAGACTGCCAAGGGGCCCATATTTTATTAAACAGGTTGCTTTGTTTATAAGTGAGTATTGTAATTTCCTCATATATGTAATTTATGCATATTTTTTCCACAATTTTTCTTAAAGTGGGGCTTCTTGTACTTTTCCAGTTGGAGGATATTAAATACCTAGCTGCAAGGATAACATGGGTTGCAAATGCTTTGTCTGGTAAGGAAATAGTGCCGTGCGTATGTAGTCACATGAAGACCTACAAGGATCTGGACTAATAGGAAGACGATAAACAGCATATAACGTTATTATTTGGTCCTATGTTGTGACATTGAAAACAATCTGTTTAAAATCACTAAAAAATAAATCATGAAATCTGTACGATTATCATGCCTGTGTATGTGCATGTGTGCCATGTGTGTCCTTGCATGCATGGCATGCACTACAAGATTCTCTCACGGCTAGATCCGTACTACACATTTTGAACACTGCATCAACTTTGGGAAGGCCTGAAAGCAGTGACAGTGTGGAAAGCAAACCTTTACAAAATTAATGCATAGGTTGAATGCAACAGTAGTTATCAACACATTAGTATGGAGTAGCTAGCTGAGAGCCATAATGATATAGCCATATGGCCAGTGAGCTATTTTGCTTTTCAATCCCATGTGAGTCTTTGTAACAACTTACATTTATCGAAATTGCCAATTTGAACGTTTTTCTCTAAGACAGCTTTTTGAGTCAGCATTGTGTAAGTACTAGTAGTATGCTAGGTCATCACAGCTTGAACTTAAGTGGGTCTCTCTGGCAATAAAATAGACATGTATTACTGCTGCTGTGCTATTATTTTAACCTGTAAACACATTTATATGTTTTGGTGGTCACAGAACTTTAAAATACAGGATAGAAGATGGTAATGATGTAATGTTTTTTCCCTCACACAGCAATGTTAAAGATGTAGAAGGTGCAACTTACAGGATGATGAAGCTTCGCACAAGAAGATTTATTAATGCAGGTCCTATTCTCCTTTGTTCTTGTTCCTTCAATATCTTCCTCATCCTTTAACACAGCAAGCCTTTTGTCTGCTTTAAGAAATGCATTTTTTCTACAAGATTCATCTGTGGAATTTAGACCTTCTATAATATGAGCTGGAAAATAAAGAGGTTACTAATGTGTAGTACATTCCAAACTATAAATTGCCGTATGAGCAACGAGATAGCAGAGGGAGCGCAGGTAAGTCGTGACACTGAGTTCTAGTTATACCATTCTAAATAGATCTTAAATCCTTAGCCATCGAACCATAAATTAAAACAAATGGCTACAAATACATACCTATCTCTGATCTCTAATTATTAATAGGGAAGTGAGTTTCTTCTAAGACCTAGGACTATAAAACAGCTTGGCTCATATGGATGAATGAATGAACACCATAGACAAGATAGGAGGCAAGAGATTTGGGGATCATAAATGCTGTACTGGGCTGCTGCAGGATCCTAAAACAATGTCTGAGGACATCCACATAGTAATATTTAATGATCTCTCTTTTTAAGCCTCTTCTAAAGCATGGGTATCTACGTCAACAAAGTTACTGCTTGTGGTGGCCGACTCCCTTTCCCCCTTTATGATTATAGCTAATATAACTGTTCCACCCAAACACTAGCCGAGACTTAGTGAAGGGTGAAGAACTGATTTATTGGAATCCCAACAGGGAATCACCAGGAGATCAATGTTTATTGCACATTTGACGCCTAGATGTCTGTACCTGACCAGATAATTTTATTAGTGGCAAGACACCTCAGCGCCTAATAACATTTAAACATAAAAAATGGTCTTCCCATGCCCGCATCCCCATCCCTGGATAGCTATTCCTGGAGCGCCCATTCTGTCCAAAAAGTGCTTGGATTGGAGGTGTCTAGCCTGAATGGTCTGGATGTTACATTTTGACTGGGCCGCAAACATTATCCAATCTGGTGCAGAGTTCCTTGGGGCTGGGTGTAAAATCTCAGTCACTTTCAACAATGGCGCTTTCCATTAGTACATCAAGCTCCCTCAAGTCCTTGGTACTGTTCGATGCCCTACCACCTCCTCCATCAAGCCTCCAAATAGGTCCTGGGACCTAAAGTGACTTCAGAGAAGTTTTATCGGATTGCAGCAACTCCACAATCCAATTTGGAGTTCCAGGTGATTTGTAGGTTGCTCCCGGTCAGGCACACAATGTCTCTGCGAGCCCCCTCCGGGTTTCTGATATCTCTAGGGCCTCTGAATAGGGTGCTGAGCTTGGAAGCCCGGTCTGGAGGGGGAAATATGTTGGTGATCACAGTTCTTTTACAAAGATGTGGTGGTTGGGAGCTATGTACAAGTCCTAAGTGACCGGGTGGTCTGTCACAAAGTTAGATCAAGGAGTAAAGTATCACTGGAGGGGGCAAAAAGGCCCCTTATAGTCCAACATGATGACAATGGATTCTCCTTATCATCAGAAGGGACACAGGAAAGGTCCTACATCAGACTTCGCAGAGAAATAGTGTCCACTTGCCTGGAACTGCCAACACAAAGTCTGATTCCAGTTATGCACATAATTTTGGAGTACAGACACTTCCAAAACAAACTAAAATTGGAGATAAACCTGACCCAGTTGCATGTCGTAATGTTTTCGTATTATTTTACTACTCTCATAGGCAGTGCCATTCTTCATTGAATTTTCTATGTGTGATAATTTTATCAGTGCTATGTTTTACTGTGATCACGTTCTCAAATCTTCTTTCGTAATGTTGGTTTTTAGGTTTTGACTTTGCTTTGCACATAGGTTGTAAAATTCACTAAGGACTAAATTGATGAAATTAAATGTAACACTCTCACTCACATACACAAAAAAAAAAGAAAGAAAGCCTATACCACACAATAAATTATGCAAATTAGAAAAATAAATCTCTGCCAGTAAATCTAAACTCAATACCTATTCGGGAAGAGAGGAATACTTACCCCTCACTGTTCAAAGTGCACCTAATCTATATTTACTTTATGTAAATATAACAAATTGCAGTTCATGTTTTTAACATAAACAAAATTATGTTTCCCTATTACTGTTGAGTATTACTACTGAGAAATATTACACTAGAAAGATATTGAACATTAAGAAAATGATGTTTTAACAGACTCCAAATGAGGGTATCGCAAGGAGAATAGTAACATTGTTCTCCACATATTACAAAAGCAAAATTGTTCCACAATATTTCACTGGCACGGCACAGCTTAAATGAAAAAGACCTTTAAAAAAAAATCTTTCCAACTGTGCTTCATTTATTCTAGTGTATACCTGTCGAATCATAATGTCTTTCATGTGGATATCAACCATTTTTATAGTAGTTTCAAGCATGTTCAAGTTTGATAACTAAACTTCTGCCAACAATGCACTGAGTGTATGACAAAGGGTTTCTCTGTCGAGGTTTGTGAATTGACAGGAACCCCAGGTAGCTCTCGATTCAGAAGGCTACATTGCTCTGTTCCTTTGATTTCAAAAGCGTTCAGTAGGTGAACGGAAAAATATCAAGCAGAAAGGCCCTTTTTCATTTAAAACAAAGCACTTTACAAACTATCTCATCCTTTTCTACTTAAAGTGGCCCTGTCACTGGATTTACTTCATATAAAGCAGACTAAATATTCTTAATTCTAATTTATTTACATAAATTAGTGCCAATATTCCCATAATACTATTATTTTAATCTATGTGGAGGGTCAGTGTGTGGATGCTAGGGGTATTTCTATTGATGATCAGTGTGTGAATGCAGGGGGTTATTTGTGTTGATGGGTAGTGTGTTTGAATGCAGGGACATATTTATGTTTCTGATCACCATGTGTGAATGCAGAGGGGTATTTGTATTGATGGTCAGTGTATGGATGCAGGGGGATATTTGAGTTGATGGCTAGTGTGTGAATGCAGGGGGTAATTGTGTTGATGGTCAGTGTGGGAATGCAGGGGGTAATTGTGTTGATGGTCAGTGTGGGAATGCAGGAGGGGTATTTGTGTTTATAGTCGGTGTGAATTCAGGGATGTATTTGTGTTTATGATCAGCATGTGAGAATGCAGGGGGATATTTGAGTTGATGGCTAGTGTGTGAATGCAGGGGGTATTTCTGTGGATGGTCAGTGTGTGGATGCAGAGGTGTATTTGTTTTGATGGTTAGTGTTTGTGAGTTCAGGGGCATATTTATGTTTATGATCAGCATGTGTGAATGCAGGGTGGTATTTGTGTTGATGGTCAGTGTATGAATGCAGGAGGTATTTGTGTTGATGGTCAGTGTGGGAATGCAGGAGGGGTATTTGTGTTGATAGTCGGTGTGAATTCAGGGACGTATTTGTGTTTATGATCAGCATGTGAGAATGCAGGGGGATATTTGAGTTGATGGCTAGTGTGTGGATGCAGGGGTGTATTTGTTTTGATGGTTAGTGTTTGTGAGTCCAGGGGCATATTTATGTTTATGATCAGCATCTGTGAATGCAGTGGGATATTTGAGTTGATGGTCAGTGTATGAATGCAGGTGGATATTTGAGTTGATGGCTATTTTGTGAATGCAGGGGGTACTTGTGTTTATGGTCAGTGTGTGAATGCAGAGGGTATTTGTGTTGATGGTCAGTGTGTGAATACAGGGGTATTTGTGTTGATGGTCAGTGTGTGAATGCAAGGGCATATTTGTATTGATGATTAGTGCATGAATGCAGGGGGATATTTGTGTTGATGGTAAGTGTGTGAATGCAGATGGGTATTTTTGTTGATGGTCAGTGTGTGAATGCAGATGGGTATTATATATCTTATTTCTTCTTCATGGCATTTGACATGTGAAGGTCGGTAGCCAGTAATATGGAAATAGATCTGGCAAGTAATGCCACTCAAATTTTCAATACAGAAATCTTTGCGCAATATGCCTCCAGTTGTCACAGAATGCTTGCAGCTAGTAGTAATGAAGCTTAACATAATATTCTGGCTTATTGCATTACTGCATTGCAAACCGTTGTGCTGAGTGGTGTTATCTCTACCACAGCTCCTTCTGGTGGCTCTTTATACAAACTGCAATAACTCTGGTCTTGGAGTCTCAAGAAACTGGAGAACCACAGCTGATGTTTTACTTCTCAATTAATGGCCATGTGAGACAATTTTGAGATACATGCATACTAGATAGTACAATTTACAAAATAAAAACACACTTACCGATTTCATCAACATTTTTCAAAAAATCATCCAGATTTTTGTCTGTAGACATTATCACCAGAAACCTGAAAAAAAAATAATGTCATTCTTTGTCATTTGAATAAGAGTAATGATAATAATGATAACAAAGGTTCTTGATGAAGGGAAGGGATACCCTAAACACGCCAGCTACAACAGTGTGAATTCAAACATTCATTAAAGAAACACTATATCATTAGTAATGCAAGCATGTATTCCTAAACCATAAAGTTCTATTAACTAGCAATTATTTATAACCCCCAAATAATTTTATTTATTTATTTTATTTCCCCAGGTGCATCATTCTCTGCGTGGCTGCCCCAGCTCAGATGGTTGAGGCTGTCTATCTTGATGATCTCAGCCAATCCAATGCTTCCCCACAGGAATGCATTGGGAAGCTAGTTGTCCTGCACCAATCAGCATTTTCTCATAGAAATGAATGTTGCTGTACTTAAGTCCTGCAGTCTTTGCAGCACCTGACCCAGGAAATCCATTTAGTAAATGACTGTCAGAGTGACAGCCACTAGATGAGACATTAGGCAGCAGTATAAGCACTTCCTTTTCTTTGAAAAGGCAGAGTTTACCTTGTTCAGCCTGCAGGGTCCAGCTATATGCCCTAAAAACAGTATATTAAGCTGCAGTGGTTCTGGTGCCTATAAACTCTGAATTAGTAGTGAATTGAAAAACAGACGGCAAAATTCAACTATGAAAGCCTAAATTTAAAAAAGGAACCAGTTAAACCCGTTGGGCAAGCAGTTTTACTAGCAAATGTATTGATTAGGTGAAAAACCTATTTAAGGAGGAATTAAAGGACAAGGAGAGCAGAAGTGACCTCCTACAAGAGCTCCCTCTCCTCTCCATCGAGAGCAGCCACAGCACATGCACTATGGTTGCTATGGTAACTCGCAAGATCTTGCTGCTTGCCCTGGGTAGGGAGTATAGGAACGGAGTGACATAATGTCCCTCTGGAAAACAATTGAGCCGGTTGGGGAAGTGTCACTAAATAACACAAATCATCGCACAGCTGAGAAAGAACAGGGGCTGATCAGAGGTGGGTGTTAGATGTGTAACACCTACCTTTGTATCGAGACTGGGGCGGAGAGCAGAGGGCCAGGTGATTTGTGACAGTTCTCCTTTAATATTCATGAAACTGAGTGACATGTTTTTAAGCAGCCACTGCATTTATAAGAAACATAACTTGAAGACTACAGAACTTTGTTATTCTTATAAAAAATCCACTCAGTAACACAATTCTCAAACTCCAATAAAATTAACTTTGAGAATTTATATTCAGCTATAATATGTATAATATGAAAATGAAATTAAAATGAAATGCAAGGCCTCATTGTGGCCCTTTGATATTGCTTCTGCATTAAAGCATGTTAAGAATTCTTAGGGCTCCTTTCTCTTTAAAGCTAAGGTCCCATGCACATGCTATGCTAAGGTCCCATTTGAGAAAGCATTTGCTACATCTGTACATCTCTGTGTGCTTACCTGCAGGTTCTCTGACACTGATTTACAACCATTTCCAAAGTGATCATTATCACTGGGCTTTGGTAAAGGCTGTATTGTGCAGAGTGTCACTAAGGCTATTCCTTGCTGACAATGTATCTGGAAGTATTAGTTACTATAAATAACCAAGAGTGTGGACATTTATAAAACCCTAAAATATATATATACTTAACATGGGAATTAAAGTATTTGCCCAATCAACTTATCCATGTTTGATGACCCTGCTTAGACCTGGACATTGGCAGGGTTATTCACTAACCCCTAAATCTAAATGGAAAAGGTGAGGCAAAAATAGTTGATCTTGAAAAATTATCGAACTCCGCTATAGTCAGATTTGTCTGTTTTTGCCTCGCTTTTGCCCCTGGATTCAATTTACAAAAATTGGGAACCTCTTTATTTATTTATTTTCTCATCCCTGTCTTCCCCCATAGTGTGTGCTGGCTGTATGTACTGTGTGTGCTGACATGGGAAATTTATGGTTAATGTTAGGTTTAAAATTAGGGTTAGATTTATGGAGTGATATGTATTTAGAGATTAGGAGCACTGATATGTATTTTAAGATTAGGAGCACGTAGGGAAAAAAACATTAAATTTTAAATTAGAGTAAGGAGTGAGAGAGGATAAATTAGTACCTAAGCCTAGTTTTAACCCTCACTTAACCCTAAATGTCCAATGTGCCTGTGCTTTAGTGATTACCTAACTATAGCATAACACACCTTAGGACACAGGACATTAATGAGGAGGAGTTACCTGTACAGCTGATGCCTCGTTATCAGGAGTGACACGCTGGTCTTGTGTATGCTCCCATGGTCCATCAGATATCTATACCCATCAGGAGTGCTAGCACACATGTGCAGCACAGGCAACAGCTGATCTGCGATAGGGACATGGGAATACATTTCTGGCAGTATATAAAAATCTGACAGAACATTGTCGATTAGTGAGTAAGAGTGCATGCTGGAAATTGCACGAGTTATGCGCTCACTCACTAGAGTGCACCAGAACCAGTGGGGGAGCCTTAACGAGATGTGCATCTGCCATGACCACTTGCCTGCGGCGGGGCTAAAGGTAAAAAAAAAAAAAAACTTCATGTCTGGCACTTTAGACCAGGGCTACCATCAGGGGGTGATAACCATGACGGGCCCCACGTGTAGCGGCAGAACTGCCACCGGTGCACCTGCACCAGGGCCCACACGCTATATCTTCAGATGCCCATCGGCGCTGTGAACGTGTAATAGCGCGACCGGGGTCCTTTAATAAAATTGCAGCCACACCACAGTAGTGCTGGGAGGAAGTGAGGGCCGGTCACTTCCTCCCAGCTCACTCCACACGGGAGAGAGGAGACAGAGTGGACACTGAGAGGAGGGAGAGCCGAGCTAACACCAACTCCCATTAGCCACCATCCTGTAACGAAAAGGAAAGAAACAGGAGGGTGGCTGAAAAATGAGCTGTGTATGTATGTGTGTCTGTGTGTATGTATGTCAGTATGTATGTCAGTAGATATGTCTGTATGTCTGTAGGAATGTATGTCAGTATGTATGTCAGTAGATATGTATGTATGTCAGTATGTATGTCAGTATGTATGTCAGGATAGGCCTCTCCCAATAGGCCTGTACACCCAATCCAGGCCTATCCCAAAAGGCCTGTACACCCAATCCAAGCCTATCCCAAAAGTCATGTACACCCAATCCAGGCCTTTCCCGAAAGGCTTGTACACCAAACCCAGGCCTTTCCCGAAAGGCTTGTACACCCAACCCAGGCGTATCCCAAAAGGCCTGTACACCCAATCCAAGCCGATCCCAAAAGGCCTGTACACCCAATTCAGGCCTATCCCAAAAGGCCTGTACACCCAATCCAAGCCTATCCCAAAAGTCATGTACACCCAATCCAAGCCTTTCCCGAAAGGCTTGTACACCCAACCCAGGCCTATCCCAAAATACCTGTACACCCAATTCACGTCTTTCTCAAAAAACTTGTAGACCCAATCCAAGCCTATCCCAAAAGGCCTGTACACCCAACCCAGGCCTATCCCAAAAGGCCTGTACACCCAATCCAGGCCTATTGCAAAAGGCCTGTACACCCAATTCAGGTCTTTCCCAAAAAGCTTGAACACCCAACCCAGGCCTATCCCAAAAGACTTGTGCACCCAATCCAGGCCTATCCCAAAAGGCCTGTACACCCAATCCAGGCCTATCCCAAAAGGCATGTACACCCAATCCAGGTCTATCCCAATAGGCCTGTACACCCAATCCAGGCCTATCCCAAAAGGCCTGTACACTCAATCCAGGCCTATCCCAAAAGGCCTGTACACTCAATCCAAGCTTATCCCAAAAGGCCTGCCCCAAAAGGCCTGTACACCTAATCAAGGCCTATCCCAATAGGCCTGTACACCCAACCCAGGCCTATCCCAAAAGTAGATATGTCTGTATGTCAGTATGTCTGTATGTATGTCAGTATGTATGTCAGGATAGGCCTATCCCAATAGGCCTGTACACCCAATCCAGGCCTATCCCAATAGGCCTGTACACCCAATCCAGGCCTATCCCGAGAGGCCTGTACACCCAATCCAGGCCTATCCCAAAAGTTTTGTACACCCAATCCAGACCTTTCCCGAAAGGCTTGTACACCCAACTCAGGCCTATCCAAAAAGGCTTGTACACCCAATCCAGGCCTATCCAAAAAGGCCTGTACACCCATTAGCTATACCAAGGACAGCTGCATAGCCTCTAATGGACACAGTTGCAGTTAGAATTTTTCACAAACTGAAGCAATATGTGCAAGATAATAAAAACAGGGAGCAAACAGCTTCATTCCTTTTTTTTTTTTTTTTTTAAATGAAAGTAATTGTCTCAAGTTATAATGTCTCCTACAAGCCAGGTCACCCTGTCCCATCTATCTTTATTCATCAGTACCTTGAATACAGCTATTTGACCAAGGGAGCTTTGTTAACTCTTTTTGTGAATTCATTGTATCACTGCCATCATTTTTATGGCAGCTTTATTAGCTCCAGGGATCAGGGCCAGCGCTACCTGTTAGGCGGACTAGGCAGCTGCCTAGGACGCGCCTTGGGAAGGGGCGCCGTCAGGAGCGCCGGCCACCTAATGCTGCAGCCGCCCAAGCGCTCTGTAGAGAGCCTCAGGTGGCTGCAGCTTTGCCCGGGCTGGTGCGTCCATGAGAGTGCACCGCCCGGGCGCAGCATGAGGGACAGGAGGGAAGAGCTCAGCGCACAGCGCTCCCTCCTGTCACTCCCTCACCTTAGCGTGGCCGAGCTCTGTATGGTCCGCGGGTACGGGGAGCATCTGTCTCCTGTACCCGGCCGGACTAACAGGAAGTGCACTAAGTGTGTGCACTTCCTTTTAGTCCGGCCGGGTACAGGAAACAAAAGCTCCCTGAACCCGCGGATCATACAGAGCTCGGCCACGCTACAACAGTGGTAGGGGGGGGATAAAGAAATTGGGAGGGGGGGAGAAGGAAATTGGGGAAGAAGGAAATTGGGAGAGGGGGAGAAAGGAAATTGGGAGA